TCAGATACTCTGAATCTATTATCACAGAGCCTGTGACGCCTCTGTCTGTTACTTTCGGCCAGCTGGCAACTGATACCGCTGCACGGCGACTCATCAGCTGGAAGTGTATTTTTCCGACTAACAAAGCAAACTCCGTTCTCGGCCATGCACTTACAAGGCCTCACTCACTAATGACGCGAACTGGGTAGTGGCTGAGAACATACCCTTTTGCCGTTCAAACACAGCAACGAGACGTCTTCGTTGACCTTCTGTGGGGGTACTCTGATGTGTCCTACGTTTTTTGTTGTTTTCCGGGCCCCGAAAATGGGCTCGTAAAGCTCGTCGAAAGTGTGGCAGGGTAGGGAAGCCCTGGACGGAGGTTTTCAGGCCTGGAGAAGTGTTGGGAGGGACTTGGCAAGGCGCGGTGCATGAATAGTAGACGCCTTCAAATAGTGCCCGAATAGTGCCCGAATAGTGCCCGAAATAATGCCCGAACTAGTGCCCGAATGAACCCTTCATAGTGCCCAAATGATTTTTCGCGAAGAAAAAGGAGATTTTCCTTCCTTTACGAAAGGAAATGTATTTGGGCACTATGAAGGGTTCATTCGGGCACTATTTCGGGCACTATTTCGGGCACTATTCGGGCACTATTCGGGCACTATGCCAGGGGGAGGCTTGGGCGGCATTATCTGGAGGGCTAAGGGTTGGGAGGCCTGCAGGACCACCAAAACACTGGAAATGCGCACGAAGAATAGGAATTTGTGCTGCAGGAGGCATTGGGGAGTGATCTGCGGGGCAGGGTTTGGAATGCAAAAGGGGGGGTTTAGGGAAGGATCTGCAGAGTTTAGGGTAGGATCTGCAAGGCAGGATTTGGGGGAGGGTCCGCAAGCAAGCGTTTGGAGGAGCATACACGAAAAACATGAGGGGTGGCATGTGCAAAAAATTGTAGGGTAGTCTATCTAGAAGTTTACGGGGGCCTTGGCCATGCGAGGGTTTAGGGAAAGATCAGGCAGGACTTCGGGGAGGATCTATAACGAGACTTTATGAAGGAGTTATGGTTTTTATCGAGTGCAGCAGCAGTCAGTCATTGACAGTCTTCTTGTTTGCATATTCAGAAACCTCCCCCCCGCCCCCTCAATTTCAATGTGTGCCGCAATGTGTGCCGCAATGCTCATTGGGCGCTTCTATGTAAACATTGAATTTGGGGGGAGCGGGGGGTCTGGAAGGTTTCAAGATTTGTGGACAAACAATTCCAAAATTGTACTATCGCGCGAGGCCATTTTCAGTGTTCGAAAAACCACGAAAACTGTAGGACGCATTAAGGTACCCCCATAGTCAGTTGCCGCCTTGCTTGCCATGCTGTGGTATTTATGACAAGTAGTTGTCATGACATCATGGTCAACAGTCTCAAGCTGACCACGCACAGACCCCGCGCATAGCTACAAGGTTGTTTTTCGAGCAAAGTTCCAATCCAATTGGGAGCGTCTTTGTCCAAAGGTTTTCGATCCATTCTAGAGCCCATTTTCGAGCTCCAAAAACGAAGCCCAAAATGGGGTCTCCCCTAATAGTTTCCAATCAGGCGGTCTCAGCTTTGGGAACCAATTTTTGGCCTCAAAATGGGGACCAACCCGAGCTCAAAAACTGCGGAATTCTGCGAGGGAGACGTGTTTGAAGCTTTACCAAAGTTTTGCCCGACATGCGGCGACCAGTGTCGCGAGCGACCGCGTCTGTTGAAATCAATCAAAACGCTCCGTTGCTACCCTGGTGATTGGGCTTGTGCTGCTTAAGCACCGTTGTTTGCCACTGTAACTGTGGGGGTACTCTGATGTGTCCTACGTTTTTTGTTGTTTTCCGGGCCCCGAAAATGGGCTCGTAAAGCTCGTCGAAAGTGTGGCAGGGTAGGGAAGCCCTGGACGGAGGTTTTCAGGCCTGGAGAAGTGTTGGGAGGGACTTGGCAAGGCTGCGGTGCATGAATAGTAGACGCCTTCAAATAGTGCCCGAATAGTGCCCGAATAGTGCCCGAAATAGTGCCCGAACTAGTGCCCGAATGAACCCTTCATAGTGCCCAAATGATTTTTCGCGAAGAAAAAGGAGATTTTCCTTCCTTTACGAAAGGAAATGTATTTGGGCACTATGAAGGGTTCATTCGGGCACTATTTCGGGCACTATTTCGGGCACTATTCGGGCACTATTCGGGCACTATGCCAGGTGGAGGCTTGGGCGGCATTATCTGGAGGGCTAAGGGTTGGGAGGCCTGCAGGACCACCAAAACACTGGAAATGCGCACGAAGAATAGGAATTTGTGCTGCAGGAGGCATTGGGGAGTGATCTGCGGGGCAGGGTTTGGAATGCAAAAGGGGGGGTTTAGGGAAGGATCTGCAGAGTTTAGGGCAGGATCTGCAAGGCAGGATTTGGGGGAGGGTCCGCAAGCAAGCGTTTGGAGGAGCATACACGAAAAACATGAGGGGTGGCATGTGCAAAAAATTGTAGGGTAGTCTATCTACAAGTTTACGGGGGCCTTGGCCATGCGAGGGTTTAGGGAAAGATCAGGCAGGACTTCGGGGAGGATCTATAACGAGACTTTATGAAGGAGTTATGGTTTTTATCGAGTGCAGCAGCAGTCAGTCATTGACAGTCTTCTTGTTTGCATATTCAGAAACCTCCCCCCCCCGCCCCCTCAATTTCAATGTGTGCCGCAATGTGTGCCGCAATGCTCATTGGGCGCTTCTATGTAAACATTGAATTTGGGGGGAGCGGGGGGTCTGGAAGGTTTCAAGATTTGTGGACAAACAATTCCAAAATTGTACTATCGCGCGAGGCCATTTTCAGTGTTCGAAAAACCACGAAAACTGTAGGACGCATCAAGGTACCCCCATAGTTTCACCACTACGATACGTGCTGGCACGACAGGGGCGGTCGACATCTGTGTTATCGACAGGCCGAGTGCTTTACCATAACTGGAAAGGCAGCACGGAGCCTACGACCCATTGATCATCGCTTTCCCTCTCATTGGTGGCATTGTCGCTCTACTCTGTCCTTCACCACACCCACGTCCATAGGAGGAGCTGTACCGAGCTCATGAGCCAAGCTTGGGCACCAAGCTCCACGTGAGAATAAGAAGACCGCTCAGGAGTTTTACGAACGATGGTCCGTCCGTGTGGAGAACGAGACGCGTCTTCAGGCAGTTTTGAAAGCTGGAAAGGTTGACAGACCCCAGCCACGCCGATGTTCAAGTCGATTCGTTGGCTCATCTCAACGAGCTCTTGGGCACGGTGAAGGCGTTTCCCATCCTTCTTGAGCTTCCGCATAACGGTCTCGGCCTTCAATTCCGAACGAAGGGCGCAGCAGGTCGCGGGGCGGAACCAGAAGTTCTTGGAGTCGTTGCTGCAGGGCAGCCCAGAGCTTCTGCAGTCTTGGGACAAGCTCACCGTCTTGTATGGCCGTGGGCCCACCACAAGTTCGCAGAATCTGCTGCAAAACCTGAAGCTACGCTTTTTCCGCGATCTGTCCAAGGGGCAAGTCTCGTCCAAGTCTTGACAGGTCTCACAACTGCTTCTTTTGTCAAGATGCCTCGGCTTGCTGTTTCACCTTGTCTGTCCGGCTGGGGCTGCCGGTCTTGCGCGCCTCCTTCACCCCATTACCTGCAACACGTGCCAACGCAGGCAACTTCTGCAACTTTGACTTCTCCAACTTCTTGCTGATGGTCTGACGCGGTGTGCGATGAAGCACTTGAAGATGCCAGCGCTTGCAAACGCCTTGGGCCCGCGGCGGAGTCGAAGGAATCCAAGTCCAAGAAGGAGAAAAGAGAGAAAGGAAGCGAAATCTCTTGTCCTTTGCGTTTTCAGTTGGCTACAGTGCCTGAGCATTTGGCAAGGCCCGTTGGTTCAGCAGATCCTCGTGTGCAGGGCTTCAAGCCAGATGTGTGGCAGTCGATTTTGTTGGATGTCGCAGATGCTGGGCATTCAGCCTTGTACAGGCGCCACGTCTGGCAAGACCTTCATCGCTTTCTATGTCATGGAAAAGGCGCTCAGGACAAGTGACAAGGGCATTGTGGTCTATGTTTGTCCTACCAAGGCACTAGCCAATCAAGTCCATGCCGAGATCGAAGCTTGCTTCGAGAAGTCTACCGAGACGGCCGACCTTTCTGCGGCATCTTCACCCGCGACAAGCGCTCCGAATGGCTTGAGAAGTGCCAGGTACTGATGACGGTGCCCCAGTGCTTGATCATCTAACATGCTGAGCCCAACCGCGGCCATGCATGCATGGGTCGAGCGGCTGGAGTATGCCATTCTGGACGAGGTTCATTGCCTTAGTGGCGAGATCCTTGCTTGCACTGTAGACAAGCGTATGGCTTTGTCCGCGCCTTTTCGTGATAGAATGAGATCGGCATCGAATGGCATAGAGGCATCGACTGGTATGGAGGTACTGGGGAAGTGTGTGACAGCGAAGGTGTGTAACGGCACGTCGGGAAGCAGCGGGGCGGTTGGCGGGCATAGCAGTATTGAGATGACATAAGATGCGAAGTGGCAGTCGGTGCGCCATGTTGCGGTTGTGGCAAGAAGTGCTGAACTTCTGAACAGGAGAATTATTTGCATCTTACAAGCTACAACGTCAGCCATCCGTGCGACAAGTTAGTCTGGAGTGAGCTCACGGGAACCCCCCAACTCATTCATCATGTGATGCAACTTTTCACGCATTTTTGCACTCTCCTTGGATTTCGCCGCCAGGACGCTTGAGGTGATACAGCACGAATGTTTCTGCACTCTACTCTCGTAATGCGCATTTTCTCTAGCACGCATGTGTGTGAGTGGGGGCCCTGATTGTATGTATCTTGTGGTGCTTCCGCCGGCTGGGCGGTGATACAGTAACAACTTATGCGAAGAATCTGATGCTTGCTGTGGGGTTGGGCTACTCTTTGCGTGAGGACTGGAGAGGTTTGGGAGCAGATCCTCTCACTTCTACCTTGCCCCATTTTGGCATTGTCTGCCACCTTGGGGCAGAGTGAGGACTTCACATCTTGGATGCGAAAGCTGCAAGCCCAGCAGCAACGAGAGCTTCACGTACTCCAGCAGGTGGGTCGATTCAACGACCTTCAGCCGTGGGTTTTTGATGGAAAGCATTTGCACCGACTTCACCCATTCTTTGCCCTTCAACCCGCCGTTCATGCCTCCGCGCGGGAAAAGATCAGACCTGAGAATCTCCATCTCATCCCAGAGGATGCTCTGCAGCTCTATGACGTGCTTAGCTCCAAGGTTGACCTCCAAACCTTGGCCCCAGAGGCCTACTTTGCTTCCTTGCCACAGGGCTCATGGAACCTCAGTATGCAGGAGGTGCAGCAGTGGTCCAAGTCGGTGGGAGAAGCTTTCGACAGGGCAGCGCGCGACGTGCAGGTCGCGGTGGTGCGTGAGTTGACCGAGGACTGTGTGGTTCTTAGTATGGGTCTCCAATATCCCTTAATTAAGGATTATACCCTAAATCATACAAGGGATCCCACTATAATTTAAGGTATATTCGCCTCTATTTGGGGCTTACTGTCCCGTTCTTAGTATGGAATGGGGGAATGGGTCATGGGGATTACTATTAGGGATTATACAGGGACTACTGTAGGGGTCCATTCCCCCATTCCCTACTAAGAACCAGACAGAGGAAGCAGGTGCAGCGTTCGGATGCATCGAGGAGGACCTCCGAGAGGGGTCACGGCAATGTTTGGAGGCTCGGTTTGGCTTTTTGGTGGAGCGGCTGCAATCTGCAGACATGCTTCCAGCCATCGTTTTCCATGACAGTCGAGTTGGTTGTGAAGGCTTGGCCATTACACTGGGCAACTACTTGCGAGCAAAGGTGGAGAAGTATCGCAGAGATGAGAAGATACAGTACAAGATTGAGGCCTTGGTGAAACAACGGGATCGGATTCCAGTACCAGAGGGGCGTGTTGGGAAAGATGGCGTTGTGATGCTCAAGCCAGAAGAGTTCGACGACGTGCAGCAGCGGAAGAGCCTGGACGCGGCCATCTCCTTGCTACAAATGATTCCGCGGGAGTTCACGGTAACTCCACAGGGACGCACTCAGCTGACGGATTCTGAGTTGGAAGAGGAGTTTGATGAAAAGAGGGATCCCTTCAATCCTGGCCATGTCTTGCACATCCTTCTTCTCTATGGTATTGGTGTGCATCATGCTGGCTTGCCCGCAGTGTATCGGCAGGTGGTGGAGCGCTTGTTTCGCATGCAGCGCTTGGGTGTCGTGGTGTCGACATCCACCTTGGCCCTCGGCATCAACATGCCTTCGAAGACGTCCGTCTTTGCAGGTGACTCCATCTATCTGAGCCCCATGCAGTTCCAACAAGAGGCCCCAGGGACTGCAATATCCTTTAATTAAGGAATATACCCTAAACTATAGCAGGGTCCCTAATATGATTTAATATGCCTTACACTATAGTAGGATCCCTTATATGATTTAAAAGGAAAATACCTTACACTATCTATCGTAGGATCCCTAGTATCATTTAAAAGGAATATACCTTAAACTATAGTAGGATCCCGAATATGATTTAAAATTGGAGTCCCTGAGGCTGGAAGAGCGGGCCGTCGCGGCTTCGACCTCCGGGGGCACATCGTGTTCTTCGGCCTTGCGGGCAAGAAGGTTCCTTAGTAGCTGAGTGGATACACTTTACACTTTTTGGGATAATGTTACCCACTCTAGAACTAAGAGTGTACACTTTTTGGGGGCTTATGAACTCAGCGACTAAGGTTCAGCGGCTCCTGGTCGGCGAGCTGCCAAGGCTTGAAGGCAGCATCCCCATGACCGCATCGTTGGCTCTGAGGCTGTTGATGAAAGCTCAGGTGCTGCCGCAGGCGGAAGACTTTGTGTCGCAGGCAGTTGCTCGTCTGGCCAGTTGCCCCTTCTTCTGCCCATCGAAAAGCATTCCATTCCAACAGGCGCACCTCTTTCAGTTTTTTGTCCGGCATCTCTTTGCAGAAGGCTTCCTGGGACCTGCTCGACAGGCACCGGTTGACCAGGTTATCACCTCCCATCCTCTTTGGTTCAGTTGCGTTCTCGAGTGTTTACGCCGTTGTTCGCCGCGTGCTTCGCCTCAGGTGACGGACTACGCAGGCTTTGTGGCGCACGTCTGGTGGGAGGAGCCAGGGAACTTCGCACTGGTATCACTTCTCCAGGAGCGAGGCATCTTGACGGAGCTGTGCCAGGGCCCACGCAAGAATTTGGTGGCAGTGCTCTGCAACTTCTTTCATCGCCGACCCCTTGAGCGATGGCACTCCCGGACGCGTCTCAAGAAGAGGCTCAAGTCCTCGGTGGTAGAGTTGCCTCCTCTGCCTCAGAAGATCATCAGCATCTTGAGGCCTGCCTTATCAGTCGATTTGGGGGTTTCCGAAAATAGGGGACCCTAATAGGGTACCCTAAATAGTAGGGTCCTTACTATAAGAACCCCAAATAAGATACCCCTTAATTTTCGGAAACTCCCATTTGTGTGTTGACGCCCTCGCAGGATTCATTTTGTTGGATGATGTTTGTACCGTTCGGATATGGGGGTTTCCGAAAATTTGGGGTACCTTATTTTGGGGCCCTTATAATAGGGATCCTACTATTTAGGGTACTATATTAGGGTCTCCTATTTTCGGAAACTCCCATATACTCATCATAGACAGTGTCTTGGTCCAGCTCAGGAGGCAGAAAGCCAAAAGCATGCTGCAAAGCGTGATCTGGCAGCTCCAGCGCCTGGTCTTGAGCCTGGAGAACCCGAATTCTGCCCTCCCTCTGAGCAAGGTGCAACCCTGCACCTCCACCCCCTCCAAAGCTTTGCGATCTCCATTCATGATGCTCTCCGGCCGCAAGAACGACTTCGTGAGCTTGCAGGAGCTCTGCGCCGAGCTACGTGATGACCTCCACTTAGAGTCTGAGATGTTCCCCGTGCTGGAGGTCGAGCCTGACGTTCGAGCTGTGCGGCTCAACGCCTATTTGTTGGATTTCTATCAGCATGGCCAAGTTGATGCACTGGAGCGCGACAACAAGATCCCGCACACCGAATACTGGACACTTCTCGAGGACTTCATGTTTTTCCTGAGGGCCCTCGCCTCAGTGGCCAAGCACCGCCAGCACCGAGTCAGGCAACGGGGGGAGGCCACGGAGCTCGGCGAGGAGGTCATCGTGGGCGCTTTCGAAGCGATCAGCACGCAATTCGAGGCCAACTTTAGGGCAATTCGTGGCAGACGGCTCTGATCAGAGTTGATCCATCGGTTTTTTTAATGAATGCTTCTTGGTAAAGCCAGAAGCATCTTCCCGGCTTGTGTGTTCGGGCGAGGAGGCACCGTGGAGCGTTTTGCTAAAAGCACCTGGTCGGCCCTCACATCTCGAGTGAAGACGCTCCTCAACAAAGCTCTTAACCTGCGCAATGAGTCTTTTTGTTTCTCATGATGGACTTTCGTTGTTTAAATCGCTTTTCGGCCACCTGTCGTCTAGTTGGTACTTGTAGTGCATTCCAGCAAGGCAGAATGAATAGCAGGCGAGTTTCCCTCCAAAAGGGGACACACAGGCGGTTTGAAGTTAAAGAGAACAAGTGGGCAGACCGAAGGACTGTGATATGTCATGGCAAGTATCTATCGCAACGCGCCAAAGCGAGTTCGCCAAAGTACTCGAAGGGAGCAGCGCTCTGCCCTAACCGGGAACCCTGCACTCAGGCCAGCGCTGAATCTCAAGGTAACGGACCCAGGATTCCAACAGCATGGTCTTAAAACCCAAACCCTGAACCCTAAACCCTAAACCTAAAGCCCTGCTCCAAGCGTCGCAGTTTCCCAACTCCCTTTCGTGTCCAGGAACCTTATAATCCTAACCCTAAACCCTAAATTCTAAACCCGGAACCCTTCACCCGCAAAATCTGTTGTGTTGCTCCAACCGTCTGACTTATTTCGGCTCACAGACGCCGAGCCCAAAAGCCTTGGATCTGATTGAGTCTTGGCTGCTGTAAGTTTGCCAGAAACTCCCAAAATCCCCGTAAACTGGGTTCTTGTTATGGTTTAGGGTTTAGGGCGGCGTTTAGGGTTTAGGGTTCAGTTACCATAGTAAGGAAGCCATAGCATTGACGCTAGATCCCTATTATTCTTGTTATTGTGGTAACTTAAACGAAGTTCCTGAACAAGAACCCAGTACAACCGCTAAACCCTCAATCCGCGTAAGTAGGCCCCCAATCGTAGTAAGGATCCCTCCATATGTTACCGTACATTGGCTCACTAAGGGTTTGGGAGTCGCGCCTGGAGGATTCCATGTGGGTAGTTGTCAAAATTAGGGTCTCTTTTTGGGTACCCTAAGTATAAGGTGCCGTACTATAATAAGGACCCAACAAGGGACCGTAATTTTAACAACCACCCGTGTAGATTTGGGTGGGGAAGTGGGCTGAGGTTTGCAGCCCCACGGCCCCAATGCTGGACTCAGCATCCATAACTCTAAGAATCCTAAACCATTGAACCCTAAACCCTAACCTTTAAACCCTAAACCCTAAACCCTAAACCTTAAACCCTAAACCCAACAGGGGAGGAAAAGATCCAACCCCCAGGCTTTAAGGTTGAATGGCCTGATCAGTGTTTTTACTAGTAGGGCTTTCGGTTGTTTGTGTGATGTTGAGTTTTTAGTTTTAGGGATTACGGTGAGGATGTATCTTAAGACGCCAGCCAAAGATGACGGGGGTATGTGCAAAGCAGGACCTTAACCCTGAATAACCTACCCTTTTAGGGTTCCTTATTATGATTTCTTTATATAAGTCCTCAAAAATGTAGGTTCTTCGGGGTTAAGGGAATGCCTATAAACAACCGTTAGCCGTATTGTGGATTCGAATCCCACAATACACCCACGTGGGCGGTTGTCAAAATTTGGGTCCTTTTTTTGGGTCCGTATTATAAGACGGCACCTTATATTTAGGGTACCCACAAAGGGACCATAATTTCGACAACTACCCATGTGATTCTCTAAATTTAGGAGAAGGCTTGGGGGTCTTGGGCGTTCATCGAAGTGATGTTGCTCAATGGGTTCCCTCAAGTTCCCTCAACCCTAAACCCGAAACCCTAAACCCGACACCCTAAACCCTAAACCCAAAGAGAATGTTCCGGGATCTTCCCACTGTTTTAGGGCCTTGCTTCACGGTGTCAGTGTTTCGATTTGGGGTGTTTGATTCGTTTTGTGGATTTCGCACTTCTCTCGTTTGAGAAGTTTTGGGTTCAGGGACTTGGGATGTATATCGGTTTTTGGCAGGCTTTGTGGCTTTCTCGTGGCGATGCTCATGCATGTTCTTCTATTCTTCTTCCGAGTCACCAGCAGATTCCGGGAGCCTGCGCCCACGTAAGTAGCATGAGCAAAGGAGTTGACTTAAGCCCTGTACACAAAGCTTGGGAACGCGAATCTCGAAACCCTTGAAACCCTGATAACTTCCCTGACCTTAAACCTCATATGGAATCGAAATCCACAGGCCCAAGCAAGAGACACGCCCTTCACTCGGAAATCCTGAGTGTCCCTATGCCCGAGCGACTGGGCAAAGAGCTTAACCACGCCCAACTCGTAAGTGCCAGTCTTCAAACCCTTAACCCTAAACCTAAATCCTAAACCCATAAAACAAGACAAAAACACCTAAACTCCTAAAGTTTGAACCGTATGCGGAGCGAGGCTCAATGTCTAAACCTGCATGTTTTCGGAGGCCATGAAAAGCGCTGCACCGTTTCTTTCGCCACCCGGGCTGGAGGTGTGGTGATGGGTTGGGTACGGCCCCCACTCAGTAATGGTTGAATAATATTCATAGTATAGATATCTTAGGACCTTAATAGTAGCCCTATTGTAGACTATTACTGTATGGGGGCAGTACCTGAGTGATGGGTCTCTTTTGGTTTCTTGGGTATGAGTTCCGAAAGTTTTTGGGGTTCGGGGCAGAGGGTTTAGGGTTTTTTAGGGTCGGAGGGTTTAGGGTTTAGGGTTTAGGGTTTAGGGTTCCACAGCCCTTCGTGTGTATGTTGGAGTTCAGTGCTTTGAGGCTTCTTTTTCCGTCAGGTTTGGCTCTGGATTTCATTCAGAAGTGAACGCTTCATAGGCACTGCGCTTGTTGATTCTGATGGAGCTTAGTTATGCGAGCTTTGATGATTGGAGGGTCTGGTCTGGTTCTAAACCTCGCCCCCAAATCCTGGGTTTCGATGCAAAGCCCCCAAGTTTGACCGCGGTTAGCACAGCAACCAAAAGTTGAAGACCCCAAAGCTCTTCCCCTAAACCGGAAAAGCAAGCCCAAGTACGAGACTACACGCTTGTAAGCATCACATCCTCGAGACTGTGCTGAGCCCAAATAAAGGCTGGCAGAAGAACCCAAACACGCCTTTCCAAAAGGGAATATTCCTTGATGTATTTACGCCACACTCCTTAAACTCATAGAGCGACTTTCGATATGATTAAATAGTATATCGCCTAGTCAGGGGCACGTTGAGGATCAGGAGTGCGTAGAATCATATAACTAGTCATGAGCCTTCAACTTTTTCTTGGATCTCTAGGTGAAACCTGCCCAGAATCTGAAAGTATAGTCTCTCCGTTTTTGAGCCACCTTCCGGAAGGCAAAACCCATGTCCTTGCAGAGCCTTGAGGCGTCTTTCGAAAGGGTTTCGGGGGTTCAGGCGATTTGGGGGTTCGGGGTGTAGGCTTTCAGGGCTGTTAGGGTTCAGTTCAGGGCTCTAGGGGAATTGAGGCTTTGGAGTTCGGGTTTAGGGGGCCGGGGTGTGCGGGTGCAGGAGGCGAGTGCCTCAGAGGTTTCGAGGTTGAGGTCTTGGGGATTTGGGGGCGGGTAATGTAGGGGGTTAGAATAGGGTTTTGGCGCCCCTTATACTATAATTATAACAAGGAACCCCCCAAATATTGGAAATTATTTCGGCCCCTATATTACCTAGATGTCGATTCAGGCCGGGCAGAATCCGAGTTCAGAATTTTGTGTTTGCAGCGCTCAACTCACTTGGTATCCTGGACTTGACAGCTGGAGGCCGTGCATCCGCTCAGTTTGTCAGCTGCTTGTGACGATGACGGTGGCGATACCCTGAATGCTTCAACCTTTCCCCTGAACTCCAGCCCTAGACTGCCCCTAAACCCTAAATCCTAAACCCTAAACCCTAAACCCTACCACCAAAGATTTTTTCAGGTTTTAGGGGTTTAGGGTTTCGGGTTTAGGGCCCAAACCCGAAGACTTGAACCCCGAGCCCCAAATTCTAATCCGTAAGCTTTGTAAGCCGCTTTTCGATCAATATGAGTTCAGCACCCCTTGAGCCTCAAGCTATTTTGAGCGCCCTAAGGCCCCAACACGGAACTTTCTTTGTTTCCCTAAGACTCCAAAGTAGGTAGCGTTTATAGACTTTAGACCCCGAAGTAGGTGCTATTTGTATACTTGGAGTCTTAGGGTTTGTGCTGGAGGAACGGCTCCGTCAGCTTGGCCCAGAGGTGCCCCACGAGAGCCTTATCCAGGCGAAGAGTTCCCCTTTTTGGAGTTTTCGATTTTCGGAGAAGCTTGCAGTCCTAGTCTTTGTTAGAGGCTTTGATTTTCGAAAAAGCTTGCAGTTCAAGTCTCTGCTAGAGTCTTTGATGTTCGGAAAATTTTGCAGTTCTGGTCTTTGTTCCCCTGATTGGCGAAGGAGCTCAAGCCGCTTCTAAGTTACTAGTTTGTCAGAATAGGGCTTAAGGATTTAGGGTCATACGTGGGTTTGTTTTGTTTCAGTTTCTTGGATTTTTGGGATTCGGCGCTTGGGTCTTTGGCGTGCCTTTTCTTTGAAATTTGTGCTGTGGGTTCTTGTTATGCAGCTGATGTTTCTCTTTCATGTTCTTCAGTTCTGTTCAGAGCCTCCCGTTCTGGTGCTTGGTTGAACGGTTGTTTGTTTTGGTTGCGGGCAATTTCGTTTCGGGCCCTGCAAGCTTGATTGGGCTTCTTAGTTCTTTTGAACTGTTGCCGAAAGTTTCGACTTCGCCGGTCTTTCTTTTTGGATACCACCCCAAAACCCAAAACGAGAAAACCAGGACCCAAAATCCTGAACCCTACAACCCTTTGCTCCACACCAAAGCCCGAAATCTGCAAGCGCGAAGCCCAGCATTCAATGGTTTAGGTGTAGGTTTAGGGGTTCAGGGGAGCGGTTGAGTGAAATTGAGGGGTTTAGGGTTCAGAGGTTTTGGGATGGGTTATGACTGACTTGCTCATATCCGCCCATGCGAAGGCAAACCAGGAACCTTGAAATCCTAAGTCCGAAAGCCGAAGACTAGACAGCCCACAAGGCAATGAGAGAAGTTGTCCTGGCGGAAGTGGAGCAAAAGGTGCAGGACGCCTTGTGGTTTAGAGCTTTACGGGTGTCTTTTCTGGAGGTTTAAGATTTGAGTTCAACCTTTAGCCCGCTGCAAAATCGAATGGCTCTCCATTCCGGAACGTTATCATGATCCTGACTACAACTAGCGTGCATGGCTTACACTTGTGTAGGGCCTTTGGGTAAAATCCGAACAATTAAAAGGAGTAAGCACAACCGTAGACCCTAAGCCCGAAACCCTGACCGACCCAAGCCTGGAAAACTCTAACTCTTAAGCCCTAAATATCAAGCCCTAGACCCTCTTGTAAGGCGAGCAGGCATGGAAAAGGAATTCAACAAACAAGTGAACCTTTCAACCACCTAGTGTCCTGAGAGGGTCATGGGCTTTCTGGGGGAAAGTTTGGGCTTTGGGGGCTAAGGTTTGGGATCTCACTTCAAGGGTCCATGAGCCTGAGGGTACTTGAGTCCTGCAAAATTAAACTTTGAATTGAAATCGCAAAAGCCCATCAAACATACACATCTTAAGCTCTCAACCCCTAAACCCTTCATCCTTAAACCTTAAACTCAGGAGTTAAAAAAACTCTGAAAGTTGCATCCCCAAACCCCCAAGACAAAGCCACAGACTCCGAGGGGAAGGTGGAAGAGCTCTGGGCAAAGGGAAAGCAGGCCAAAGCAGGGGGTTAGGGAATGGAAGAATGGTAGCAATAGTAGTTATATGGGTGATTGTCAAAATTATGGCCCCTTTTTGGGCACCCTAAAAATTAGCTGCCGTATTATAATAGGGACCCAAAAAGGGACCATAATTTTGACAACCACCCCTATGGTAGTAATATGATAGTAATATGGTAGTAATATTAGGGGTCTAAGGGTTCAGGGTGAAGAGTTTAGGGGTTTAAGGTGTAGGGTTTCAGGGTTTAGGGTTTAGGAGTTTGAGGGATCTATAAGAGCTCGAGAAGGGCTTGTTCAAGGTTCTTTCAGAGTTCTTCAAAGTATAAAGGGTTCCATAAGGGTTCTCTGAGGATTCTATAAGGGCTTTTTACAAGTTCTATAAGGGCTTTTAAAAATTCTATAAGGGTCCTTAAAAGGGAAAAGGGTTCTTTAAGGGTTCTGTAAAGGGTCCTATGTGGGCCGGCCCAGAAAGCGTGAGGATGCGAGGTGTTGGTTTTGGGGTTTGGGGTTTGGGGTTAAAGGGCCCTTGGTTTTGGGGTTTGGGGGTTTGAGGTCTAGTAAATGTAGGGTTTTGAGCTTGGGGCAGGGATTAAGGCTTCAATGAAAACCAACTTAACTTAGGGGTTTCTTGAAAGGCCGGCGTATTGTTCCTTAGCAAGAGAGTTTGATTCGAGGTTTGCGAGCTTCGTTGGGTGTTGCCTGTGTTGTTTGGTATCGGTTTGGGGTTTTAGGGATGTGGGCTGGCTCATTGACGGGCCCGAATCATTTTCCCAACGCTTGAGGGTTGAGGCCTAGACCGCACACCGCGCACCCGGCCCTGCACCCTAAACTCTAACGCCTGAGCCCTAAACCCACGAATTCGGCGTTTGAGACTTCTTTCGCGTGCATCCTGCGGGAGGTGGCCTCTTGAGTCCTTGGGCCAAACACAAAAGGGACTAGCCGAAGGCATCGAAGAGGCCTTGCGATCCGAGCAAAACGAGGGGCACCCTTGGAGAATGTGCTCGATGGTTGGAGAGTTGCTCCAGCCACGAAAAATCCGTTGCCTTCGGGGTCAAAGAGGAAGAGGTCTGCTGCAGGACTGCGTGCTTCTGATGACGAGCATTGCCCCAAACCCTAAGCCCTAAACCCGAATGGTTCGGTTCAGTACAAGGTCCAGCCCCGCAGCCTACAAGGCATTCCGACTATCCGACGGGGCAGGAGGAAAAGAGGGTTCAAAAACAAAAAAACCCTAAACCCTGAACATGCAGCCTGGCCCTAAACCCTAAACCCTAAACCCTAAACCCCTAAACCCTAAACCCTAAACCCCTAAACCCTCAACCGCTTGCCAGGGAGGTGAAGCCTTTGCATCCAGGCTTCAAGGCGACTCGCCTGTGGAACTCCAGCAAGCAGGGGAAAAAATGTTCGCCAGATCTGAGCAACAAGATGCATGGCTTAGGGTTTAGGGGTTTTGGGTTTAGGGGTTGAGGAGAGGGTTTAGGGGTTGAGGGTTTAGGGGTTGAGGGTTTAGGGGTTTAGGGGTTTAGGGTTTAGGGGTTTAGGGGTTTTGGGGATAAGGTCGGTTTAGGGTTTAGGGTAGCCCATGGCTTAGGGTTTGCGCGTTAGCCTACGGAGTTCCGAGTTTAGGGTCTGGGGTTTACGGTGCACAGCTGAAGCTTGGGGGCTCCATATTATGATTTCCTTGTATATAAGTTCTCAATAAGGTTGGCCATTTGGGGTTGAGGTATTCCCGAAACCCTAAATCGTAGAGATCAGCAAAACAGCTCCCAAGAAAAAGATATCTCCGGCTCCTCACTAGGTTGGTTGTCAAAATTAGGGTCCCTTCTTGGGTACTCTAAATATTAATTAGGTGCCGCATTATAATAGGGACCCAAAAAGGAATCCCAATTTTGACAGCCACCCAGACCAGGCGTTCAGCCAAGCGCAGCAGAAGCAGCGCGAGCAGATGCAGCGTGTTCTGGAGGAGGCCCAATCCCTAGGCATCTAAGGACTCATATATTAAGGCTTGTGGGCCCAAAGACCCCATATTATATAAGGCTTTTGGGTTATTTTGATGCCCAGGGAATGGAGTTTTATACGGGCTGATAACGCTCTTTGGAAGGGTGGTTAAGGGTTCAGGGGTTTAGGGTTTGAGGGTTTAGGGGTTTAGGGCTTGGGGTTCAAGGGAAACGGTCTTTGGAAGGGTGTATAAGGCTTTAGAAGACTTGTGTAATGGCTTGTGTGTGAGTTTGTTGTTGTCCTGTCTTTATGGGGTGTGTAGACAGGGCTTATACGGATTTCACCAACCTTTCTCCGAACTTGTAGGAATTTATGCGCCCTATACCGGTGGTAGAACGTCCTACTTGGGGCTTACAAAGGTTTTGGGGGGGATGTTCGGAGACTTGATTGGGTTTAGACAGGTATTCTCCGGGGTTAAAAAGGGCTCTATAGGATGTAGAAAATTAACCATAGGCATTTGAATATGGGTAGTTGTCAAAATTAAGGTCCCTTTTTGGGTACTCTACACAATAGGTGCCGTATTGTATTAGGGAACCAAAAAAGGACCCTAATTTTGAGAACCACCCATATACTTGTTCAATGTTTCTCAGGGCCCTGTGAGCGTTTCTGATGGTTTTGCCGGGGTTGACAAGGTGTTTCAGCACGTGATAAGTCAACAGCGCTTGTATGGGCGTGGTAAGGCCTTCGTAGGGGTTCAAACGTCCTCCTAAGGGTTTGTAAGGGGCTTTCGCTTTTTTACGTGGTTTTGAATTTAAAGGGAGGATCCTAATAGAGTACCCTAAATAGTCGGACCCTTATTATAAGGACCCCAAAATAAGGTCCCCCTAATTTGGGGAAACTCCCAAGTAAGGGTTTTGCAGGATTTCAGAACGCCACCAGGTCCAGGGTCAATTCCGACTGTGGCTTCCATGTACTTGGAGGGTCGGGGGACTTACTAAGTAGTAGTTGTAGAGAGTTATAATTACCATAACCCCAATTAAGATCCTTTTTGGGGTACTTATAACTCTACTTATTATCTACTTACTAAGTCCCCCGACCCTCCAAGTAAGCTTCAACTTCGGAGGTCCTTTTGCTTCCTTGATTTGGGCTTAGGGTTTAGGGTTTAGGGCTTAGGGTTTAGGCTTAAACGGTTTAGGGTTTAGGCTTAAACGTTTTAGGGTTTAGGGTTTAGGCTTAAACGGTTTCGGGCTTAGAATAGATACTGTAGGGTCAGGGTTCCGAAAGAAACTACCAGGTTTAGTCGGGCTTTCTGGCTTGAAGCTGGTTTTCTTCAGCGGGCATCGCTCAGTACACTGGAGGGCTCCACGATGCAGATGGATCACGAATCACAACCCTAAACCCTAAACCATAAATATCAGAATATCAATTGTATTTCTCATTTTCATATAGATATCACTAATTTCATAGATATAGAGTACATTTCAAACGCTAGACCGCCATTTTAAGGGATTTGGTGTCATGCATTTGCAGGTTTGGCTTTGGATTCCGGTCTGTAAGTTGGTACTCAAGGTTACCGGCTTCTCGCCGTTCCCGAGTTAACCCTAAACAAAAAACCCTAAACCCTAAAACCCTAAAACCCTAAAGCCCTAAACCCTAAAACCCTAAACCGCAGACCCTAAACCCTAAACTTGTAACCTACTTGCTAAGTCCCTCCCCGAGCCCCAAACTTTACACCTCTGCACTCAAAGCCCTAAGCCCTGCAGTCGAATCCCCCTAGGCACTACTGTTGATGATATAAATCCTGCATTAGCCATAATAAGGAATATAACATAATTCCCATAGTTTAGGGCCCTTAAGGTAATGCAGGAGTTCTATATCATGACCCTAAACCCTAATCCCTATAGATCCCTTATAGCACCCCTATAGATCCCTTTAAAGGAACCCTAGGGATTTATATCATCAACCGTAGCCCTAGCTTTAAGCTAACTCAAAACACAGTCGAAGCTCTGAGCCCTGACCCTTTGGGCTTCTCTCACCTGGGAGTTTCCAAAAATTGGGGACCTTAATATAGCACCCTAAATACCCATAGGCTCCATAGTAGTTCCTTTTTGGGACTACCTTATAGGATTCTACATATGAACCCCAAAAAGGAACTACTATGGAGCCTCTAGGTAGTAGGATCCTTATTATAAGGACCGTAAAATAAAGTACTCAGCGCCCGGAGCAGGTCGCGCAGTGCCAAGCACGGCAGGCGTCCCTAACGGCCGAGAACGAACGTCTTCGCGAGGCGCGAGTGAGAGAGTTGCTGGTTTAGGGGCTTAGGGGTCTTAAGGGTTTAGGGGTCTTCAGGGTTTAGGGGTTTAAATGGTTTGGGTTTTCAGGGTGGCATTACGCTTGGACCGTAGAAGTTAGAGTAGGGCTTTGGTGAAGCGGCTTTGGGGTATCTGGCGGGTGTGGGGTTTAGGGTCTGTTTGAATCAGCGGTTTTCGGACATATTCCGAAATTTTAAGCTTCGAATTCAATATCTGATAGTTTGGTATCAGGGTGTGCAGGTTTCATGATCTTACTGAGTGGTTTCCGGTTGTTGGTCGCGACACGGACGATTTGCGCAGAAGGGCTGGCAGCGCTTAATCTCGAAACCGCGAACCGCTGGCGTTTGGGCTTCTGTCACTTGGGAGTTTCCGAAAATAGGGGACCCTAATGTAGTACCCTAAATAGTAGGATCCTTATCACAAGTAGGATCCTTATGACAAGGACCCCCAAAAAAGGTACTCCTAATCATCGGAAGCTCCCACTTTGAGGCGCCAGGAGATTCCTAAACCCTAAGCTCTGAACCTTCAACCTGAAACCTTCAACCCTAAACCATGAGCTTCCCTAAACGGTAAACCATCAGCCTTCCTAGCCCTTAAACTTCAAACCGAACAAAAGGGCTAAGGAATGTCAGGGTTGGAAGCCGGGTTTCTTGCGAAGCAATTTCTGTTCAGGCTTTTGGGATCCTTTAAGGGTTCCTTTTGGGGTTTAGGGTTTAGGGTTTAGTGTAGAGTTGAGGGTTTGGGGTTTAGGGATCCAAGGTAAATAATGTGGTTTTCTTGTTATGGTAGCTTAAGCTACGTACCTGAACAAGAAGCCAGGAAGGGTTTAGAGCTCACAGCTTGGGGGTCTTTAGGGCACGGCTGTAAATGCTTAAGTTAACGCAAGACAGCATAAACAACTCTGTCATACCCAATGCAGCTTGGCAACAGCTCCATGAAGCCCTCAGCCCTAAACCCTGAAGCCTAAACCCTACACCCGAGAAAAAGGGAGCTCTAGCAGAAGCCTGAGAGCGTTTTCCTTGTGTGGCTCTCGGAGGCTCATGGGTAGTTTTAAGTGGGCTTATAAGTAAGGTATCTATAGTTATATCCCGTATTAGGTGACTCATAACCCCACTTCTCACTACCCATGAACCTCCAAGTAGACCCTGAACCCTATACCCTGATAGAATCCCTATAGATCCCTTTAAAGGGACCCTTAAAGGAACCCTTATAACTACCCATGAACCTCCAAGCACAGGCCCTCCGGACCCTTTCCTCCAAGTGCTCATCGCTGCCTGGATATGTGCCAGCTCACATCTCGGAGAGCTCAATCCCTTAGGGGTTCTTAGGGTTTAGGATTTAGGGTTTAGGGTTTAGGATTTAGGATTTAGGGTTTAGGATTTAGGGTTTAGGGTTTAGGGTTTAGGGTTTAGGATTTAGGGTTTAGGGTTTAGGATTTAGGGTTTTAGTCATCTCGGAGAGCTCAATCCCTTGACCTTCGTGTATAGGGAATGGCAGTTGTTTGGGGCTTGGGGTAATAATTAGGATAGGGTTCCTTTAAAGGGCTCCTTAAATGGGTCTATACGGGATCTGTAGTAGGGTTCTATACTATCTAGGGGCCTTAATACTTAGAATAGGGTTTTGGGGCCCACTTTCTATAATTATAGTAAGGAACCCCACAAATAGTATAGGTACTTATTAATTAAGGCCCCTATATTCTAGGGGCTTGGGGTTTATAGGGTGTTAGGGCTTTAAGCTGTTTTAGTTTTCAATAGTTTGTTGAGACCTGACTGGTTCTCATAGGCCTTCTGGCTTTATCAGGTTTTGAATGTGTTTTGATGAAGGTCGTATTTCAGGTAGGTTTACCTTTTGCAAATCTTACTGAAACTTCCCAATCTTACGTAAGTCTTAAACCTTAAACCCTAGTCCCGATCTTACGTCCCAAACCCTGAACCCTAAACCTTAAACCCTGAGTGCAAATCTTAAGCCCTAAACCCAAATAACAATCCAAAGCCCGTCCGCGGTCAGTGCCGCAATTCGAAGACAGTGACTTGCTGGGGGTTCAGGGCTGTGGTGGATGCAGGGTTGTGGGTTTAGGGTTTAAGCGTTCGGAAGGTAACATGAAAGTAAGACACAACCGGTTTGGGGTTGAGGGTTTAGGGTTTAGGAATCATGGTTTAGGGTTGAGGGTTTAGGGATCCTTTCTGTACTAAAAGAAGACACCCTAAATCCTCGGCGAGCTTGGGAGCTGGCCAGCTTGTCTGGGCCCTGTGCGTCTTTTTGCTGCTTGTTTTGCGCGTTGTGGAGGTTCTAGCGGCTTAGGGGTTTAGGGTTTAAGGGTTTAGGGCTTAGGGTTGAGGGGTTTAGGGTTTTTAAGGGTTTAGGGCTTAAGATTTGGGGGTTGAGGGTTTAATTTGGGGTTGAGGGTGCAGGGGTCGTGAGGATCTATGAGTCACTCTGAGGATTCTCTGGCATCGCCAGGGAGCACTCTGGCCCGGGAGCTTGGCATGGATTTGAGAGGGTTGTGAAAGGATCACAGGGGTTTACATGTGGGTTTAGGGTTTACGGGGTTTAAACCGGTTCCGGGTCAAGGAAACTCGCAAGCTCTAAATCAAGAAGTACTTCGAGTTGTCGCACCTGGATATTCCGGTGGTTGTTAAAGGCTCTGTCTGGGGTTTCTGGGATGGATGAATTCCAAAATCTGTAGTGTCAGGGGTTTACGGTGTGATGTATAAAAGCCCTCTTGCCTTCATGAGGATTTTAATGAGGATCCCAATCCTTATGCTAAGGGTACAGAAGGGGGCTTTGTCAATCAGGGGTTCACATGAGGGGTGGGTTTTAGGGTGCGGAGGTTTGGGTGCTTAGGTGCCAGAGACTCCCATATCCTTTATTTAAGGAATATACAGTAAATCATGCTAGGAATCCTTTTATACTTTAACGTATCCTCCTTTGTTGAGGGATATTGGAGTCTCTGGGAGCGTCTGAGGGTCTGGTGTTTGTAGCAGCCAGAAGCCTGGAACTAAGACCGGAAGCGTAAACGTGTTTTGGGTTTAGGGTAAGGGTTTAGGGCCTAGAACTTAGGGTTTAGGGTTTGGGGTTTAGACCCTAATCTACCCTAAGGGTCCAGGTATCTGCTTAGGAGGGTACGGAATCTCCTAGGGAGAGTCCTTGGGTCTGTTTGGGGTCTCAGAAACCCTGCATTTGAGGTTCCCCAATTTGTTAGGACCCTGAGGGTCTGACCTGTGTAATAGGCCCTGTAATAACCTTATTACTCATCATCCCGCCCCATACTGTGCTTGAAGGATCAGGGGCTGGCAAAGTGCCCCGGACCCAGGGAGCCCTCTAAACCGAAACCCCTAAACCCCAACACCTCCTACGAAGATTCTCGACTCTTTTAATAGTTATAGGATTCCTTCATGGGTGTCGGTCCCCCAATTTTTTTCGTTTTTTCGTGTAAATCGACCCAGGGCGCCCAAACCCTCTAGACGAAGCTCTGGATGCCAAGGCCGGTACACCTCCACTGCAGGAGGAGCGTGTTCGAAGGGTTTTGCATAGAGTTTTTCACCCTTAAGTTAGTTTATGCTTTTATAGGCGGTTTTATTTGGATTTTGCAAGGGTTTGACCGGGTTTTGCAAGCTGTTTATGCAGCCTTTTTGCAATCTCTAGAGGTTCCATGAAGTCTTTTATGGGGTTCTGCCGGGTTTGTGACACGATTTTTGTCGGAATCCTATCCAATTTTAATTCCACTTCATTGCGAAGCCTGCATTCCGTGAGAGATCCATGCTGTACTCCTGATTTAGGGGTCAGGGTAGGGTTCAGGGTTTTCACTGTACCTGAAAAAACCGGAGAAGTGCTGAGGTTCATCATGAGTGTGCAGATGTAGGAGCCTGATTAAGAAACCCTGTCCCCAAAACCCCAATATATAAGGATTCATACAAGGAACCCTAATAACGACCCAAGGTTTCTTGATCAACTTCCTATATGAGCCTTTAGGGTGCTCGGGTTTCGGACTTAGTGTTGAACCTTTCGAATACGCGCAAATCCCGATAGAACGCTGTGTGAGCGTATAGACAGTACAGCTAGACAGTTATATAGAGAACCTCCATAGACAGCCGCTTAAGAAGGAGCCAAACTATCCGGCCCCCTTCACGCCGATCCCGTTCGCGCAACTAGCCCAGAGTTGTGGGGGCTTTCGCGTTTCTTCTGTGGTTTACGGTCGTGGGATTTAGGACTCGGGGTGTAGGTTCAGAGTTTGGGGGTTAGGGTTTTTGTGGTTTCCTGTTCGGGGCTCTTGGGTGTGAGGTATACGGCTTTGGGGCACAGGGTTGCAGAGAGTTCAGGGTGCTTCGTTTCAGGGTTGTAAAAACTTGGGGTTTAAGTTTGTGGTGGCTTGAAGGCAAGTGCAGTGCGTGACAGCTGGTTTATGTGCTTTTCGACGGTTTTCATTGCAACCCCCTGATGTTCGAGGCATATAAGCTTACAAGCTTCAGGGTCGTCCTGGGTTGAGAGTTCGGCCACGCCTGGAGGATTATTCCGCTTGGAGGGTCGGGGGACTTAGTAAGTAGGTAATAAGTAGAGTTATAAGTACCTTAAAAGGGACCCTAATTGGGGTTATGGTACTTATAAGTCCCTAAACATTACCAGTTACTAAGTCCCCCGACCCTCCAAGCGATCTCAAGATCAATGCACCGTAAACCTGAGGCTGAAATACCATGCTACACTCCGATATGATGCCGAAATAATCGCTAAGATATGAACCCTAAACTTGAAGATGTTGGGACCTAAACCCTAAACTCTAAACTTTAGGCCCTATACCTCAAGTTCTAAGCCTTAAATCCTAACCCAAACCCCCAATCCTATACTGAGATTTTAAGCCTTAAGCCCTATACCTCAAAAGTTTGATCTCTAAACCTTAAGCACTATACCTCAAACTTTGATCTCTAAACCTTAAGCCCTATACCTCAAACTTTGATCTCTAAACCTTGAGCTCAAAACCTTAGGCACTAAGCCTGAAGCCAGGGTTGCCGCATCTGGAGATCAGTCCCCAGAGCTCTCAAGCTGCAGACTCGCATAAATCCCTATGACGCCTCAGCTTAAAAAAGCGTGATGGAACCCAATGAAGCATTGTTGAAGCTAGTATCTTAATACAGAAGGGGTTCCATGAGAGAGGCCCCAAGCAACACAGCGCACAGAAAAAGTATCTAGAAGGGGTTCTTGGTGTTTCCATGCGAAAACGCAGTTTTCGTGAAGGTTGCTAGGGGCCTCTTGTCGGGGCTGGTACATTTTCAAGATTACATATTCCGGTCCCTTAGTTTGCACAATCGGCAAGCCCAACCCTGGACGCCCCTCCTCAAGAATCAGTCTAGGGCCCAGGGCTGGGTTTAAGACTGGGGGCCCATTGAATGGGGGGTGTACCTTAATCCACCAGAACCTACTTTTTTGTAGGGGCCCTATAAATCCCATATGAGGGCTTAATAAGAACCTACAAAAATCTAGGGTTTGGAGGTAAACCCTAAACCCTCAACTCTCAACCCTGAACCCTCAACCCTAACCCTACCCTCAACCCTAAACCCTAAACCAGTTTAAGGTATGGTTCGATGCCAGGAGCGTAAATCCTGCGCTCCCAGACCCTGAGCCCCAAAGCCCTGCAGAGTGTTCCTGAAGCACATATAAAAGGCAGAGACGGTTTAGGGTTTAGGGTTTAGGGATGTATAAGCCGTTGGGAACACGTATAAGCTTGTAAGAAACCTTGTGAGTCTAAGCCTCTAAATATGAAATTCCCTGCTTGGGTAGTGAACGGGGGAACTTTGAAAATTGTTTGGCCTTATATATTAGCTCTATCTTAGAAAGTTTGAACTTTTTGGGTCCCGGTTGTTGAAGAAGAGAGCCCTAAACCCTAAACCCTAAACCGAGGATCTTGGGGGTACTTTCAAAGGGGACAAGGAGGGGACCCTTAATGAATCGAGATGAACCGGTCTGGCGAGCTCCAGCCTGAACCCTAAACCCTAAACCCTAAACCCTAAACCCTAAACCCTAAACCCTAAACCCTAAACCCTAAACCCTAAATCCTAAACCCTAAACCCTAAACCCTAAACCCTAAACCCTAAACCCTAAACCCTAAACCCTAAACCCTAAACCCTAAACGAACCCAGACCTTGCGACCGCTAGTCTTCCAGGCCAGTCGGCGACTTTCCCAGCTATGCGGGCGAGGTGCTGGCTTTTGCTAGATTGCCCACGGGTTTAGGGTAAACCCTAAACCCTATAGATCCCTTAAAGGAACCCTTATTGGTACCCTTCAAAGGAACCCTATAACTACTAAGGCCTCAGGTTTAGGGTTTACAAGGGTTCATTGGAGCAAGGGTTTAGGGTTTGTTTGTAAGGGTATCGAGTTCAGGGTGTCTAGGGGTGTAGGGAAACCCTGAACAGCAAAGATGGTGGTAGCGGATCCCCAAAAGACACGAGGTAGGAAAAAAAAGATGGTGGTAGGGGTTGGGGTTGGCGGGTTTAGAGGACTTGCGATCAAAGGTGTAAGTCACTGTGTTGGCAGTTTTCTGCAACCCTAAACCCTAAGCCCTAAACCCTAAAAGCTAAACCCCAAGCCCTAAACTCAAAGCCCTAAACCCTAAACCCTAAACCCTAAGCCCTAAATCCTCTCGACGTTGCCACAAGCGATTGCAAGGGCCTTGTTGGTGATGACATGCATGGAGACGAAGTGCTTCAGCCGTGTCCACACGTTGGGGAACCTGGCGCAACCAAAGGGCGCAGCGCACGATGCGACTTTGTATGACGGCCTGATCACCCGCTTCGCAAACGCCCTCGGCTTCCACACGAACACACCATCCGAGCAGGCTCAGATGTACCGCTACCTGAAAGCACTGAACTTCACCGGAGCCGTTGGTTATCACTTCGCTGCCTACACCGCAACCGGCCACGAGAAGCAACTGGTCCGCTTGGGCAATGAAAAAGTTCTCGATGTTAAGGAGGCCATCGCCGGGCAGCTGTACAGTGCAGGGCTTTACTATTATTCTTGCTAATTTTGTCAGTATTATTCTTGTTATTATTGGTGTTTTATTGTTAACACCTTTACTTTTCTAGTATCAATAACTCGTATTATTAATGTAGTTACTTTGTATTGCTAGTATGCATATTATTAGTATGAATATTGTAGGTCCGACTCACGTTAGATTGGAAACAAGCTTTTGACTCCATACGATCTAGAATATGCGAACGACGCGCTATTAATGGGAGTGACCAAACCGCAACTACAGAACATGTTAGAATCGCTGGAAGACATAGCACTACAGTACGGCATGAAGTTGACTAACACGAAAACGGAATTGTTGAGCCATCCACGCGCTGATCACACCGGCCTCGAGTTTAGGGATGGGGCCAAAGTTCGTAACGTGAGCACAGTCAAGTACTTGGGCACAATGATAAGTTGTTCGAAGCCGCTTTTTATCATGGACTGGGACTAACCGAAGAGGCCTATAAGAAGTTAAGGCTAATCTGGAACAGTTCCTTGTCCAGGAAAACCAAAGTCAAAATCTTTGAGGCCACCTTTACTAGTGTACTGCTCTAGGGACTGGACACGATTATGCTTACTCCTAAGCAGTTACACCGCATCGATGGACAGTATTTCCGATTCCTCCGAAGAACTAACTATAGGTATCAAGGCTTCGTACTACTCTCGTGTTTCTAAACGGGAAGTATGGACGCAAGCCTTGGAACCAACATTGCCCTCCCAGACCCTGTCATACCGCCAATACCAACTTTTCGTCAGAGTCCTTCAACAAAACATGGAAGAACCCACCCACAACGTCCTTTTCGGTTCCGTTTTCAGAAGTAGGATCATTCTGAAGGGTCGCAGACGAGGGATGCAACGTCCATATTGGTTAGAGGTTTATGCTAACAGATGCTTCCCAGATTATAAGCCGGACCACACCGCCCCACATAATAGATACTTAAAGAACGCGAAACTGGTGAGAAGCCCCTCTTTTGAGATGGCGCCTAAGCGCGCGTTTACAAAGCGCGCATGGCCCTAGAAAAGGAAAGCCCTAAACCCTAAACCCCAAAACCCCAAGCCCTTTACCCTAAACCAAGCCTTCAACCCTCCAAGAGTCAGAACGTCGCTCGAGGCAGGTCTGCCAGAGGCGCGGGCACTCAGTGAGTGCACACGGGTTCAGAATTCGAGAGTAGAGTTGTTTAAAGGTTTGACGTTTCGGTGTAGAGTTTTGGGCTAGGGTTCAGAATTCGAGGTTCAAGGCTTTAGGTTTAGTGTTGAGGGTTAAGAGTTTGTGGGTTCGGGAACCCTAAACCCCAAACCCTTAAGCCCTAAGCCCTAGATCCTAAACTCAACTATCGGATTTTGGGTCGACGGAGGTCCTAAGAATTTAATGGGTGCCCTTTTTGGTTTAAAGGGGCTTATCAGGGAACTGGACCCTAGGAAACCTGCCAAGAAGGAGCGCAACTGAGCCTAAATGCCATAAAGATTGTATCATCAAATCTGAACTTCAAACACCGGTTTGGCGTGGAGGGTTTAGGGTCCGGATCCCTCGCCCAAAACCCAGAAATCCTAAACTCAAAGCTTTAATACCTAACCCTAAACCGTACACCTTAAATCCCAAACTCCCTTAGACCCCTAAACCACTTAAGCCCTAAACCCCCCAAACCACTTAAGCCCCACACATACGGTTCACAGGGATCGCTGTGTGCAGAGGTGCCTGTTATGCCACTTGCTTCCCCAGGGGTTGGAGGCCCGGCGAGGGGTCCTACTGCTTGGAGAATTGGGGAGGGTTTAGGGGTCTAGGGTTTAGGGTTCAGGGCTTAGGGTTCAGGATTTTAGGGGTGTAGGGTTTTAGGGGTTTAGGGTTTAGGGTTTGGGGGTTCAGGGGTTTAGGGTTTCGGGTTGAGGCTGAGTCGCTGCGTGAGGGGTTAGAGTTTGGGGTTTAGGTGGTGCCTCGGGGTCGCCATGTTTCGGGGCACCCTTCATTCACACGTGGGAAGATGCAGTCTGTCTTAAAACCCCAAACTTGTTTGGTTCAAGCCCTCCAACCTTACGCCCTTTGTCTGCGCAATACGGTTGATGATAGAAATCCTGCATGACCCATAGTAAGGAATATACCACAATTCCCATACTTTGGGGCCCTTAAGGTAATGCAGGATTTCTATCATCAACTGTAGTTCCCTGTCCTTGTGCAGTGCAAGCCTGCCGTAGAAAGATGTTGGGGATTTAGGTTGCAGGGTTCAAGGCTTTGGGATCAGGGTTGAGGGTTTAGGGGTTTAGGGGTTTAGGGGTTTAGGGGTTTAGGGGTTTAGGGCTTAAAGTTCAGGGTTTTTAGGGGTTTAGGGTTTTAGGGGTTTAGGGTTTAGGGCTTAGGGTTCAGGGTTTTAGGGGTTTAGGGTTTAGGATCCAGGCCTATGCAGGTAGTGTACCGGGGTAAAGGCCAGTTTCTGTGATGCCAGACACCTGCTCGTTTCGCCGTAAACTTCTCGGTTTAGGGTTTAGGGGTTAGGGTTTAGGGTTTTAGGGGTTTAGGGTTTTAAGGGTTTAGGGCTTAGGGTTCAGGGTTTTAAGGGGTTTAGGGTTTTTAGAGGTTAGGGTTTAGGGTTCTAGCTCAGAAAATACTGACCCCTCCAACAGTCCAAACCCCATAATCCAGCACTTATTTGCAAACCCTCTTCTTGAAGGCCCAGCAACTCGAACCCAATTCCCGAAGGCTCCAAATCGCCCGGGCTCATTAACACGAATCAAGCCCTCTCAGAGCCCTCAGCCGTGCCAGCACCTGGTTGCCCTGCACCTTTGTCACTGGCAGAGGCTCGGCATCTCTTGTTTATAAGATGAAGTTATGTTTACCAATTTCGTGCAGTTTCAAAGTTACAATTTCAGGGTCCGAGTCGAGGAGCTTAGTGTGAGCTACAACAGCGTATATAGTGAGTAACGACTTATGTCACCCTCAATTTGGTTCCTGAGGAGGAGCCGACTGAAAGGCTTGCCGTTGCAAGTTCAGTGTACGGGCTGTGGAAGTCAGGCTTCGGGTCTGGAGTTCAGCATTTAGTGGGTGTGGTTCAGTCAGTTTGATGTAGCAATCTGGCTTATGGAGTGAGTGGCATGAGTCTTTGGAAACGGAAGATCTGCCTCGATCTCAGCAGGTTAATCTTTACGTCCAGAACTCGAAAGTTTCCAAGTCAGGCACTAAGCTCTACATTATTACCCCTAAGCGGCCCCCAAACCCCTTGCCATAAGGCATTGAACCAAACTCAACGCAGCACGCCTGGAGGATCATCAGACTTAGCAGGTAGGTTTTGGGAAGTATTTCCTTATTCCTCCTTACATGAACTCTACTAGGGCCTAAAGCCAAAATCCAAAACCCTAAGCCCTAGATCCCCCTGATTTCGGTTGTAAACCCCAAAGCCTGAGGAATGTGGAGTAGATTCCATGAGGGTGGTTGTCAAAATTAGGGTCCCTTTTTGGGTCCTTATTATAACACGGCACCTAACATTTAGGGCACCCAAAAAGGGATCCTAACTTTGACAGCTACCCATGAGGAAGTAAGGAGTTGGCGCTTAGGGCTCGAGACTGCTGGAGGTTGACGGAGGTTGAGGGTTTAGGGTTTCGGGGGAAGCCGGCCAAAGGTGAGGAAGCTGGCCCAAAGGATTAGCCTAGGCTTCTCAAACTGGGCTTCAATCTGAAAGCTTCCAAGTCTTTGGGGTTTAGGGTATAGGGTTTGGGGTTTTGGGGTTTAGGGTTAGAATGCAGGTTATATGTTGGAAGGTGAAGGAAGGTTCAGGCCGCCGAAACTGAAGACGGCTTCGGGCTTACCAGGATCCTTCACCGAGAGCTGGAACGTGAGCCGCACGGTCTTGATTTCTAAGGCCTCGAAGATTAGGTTCCTGTCCTTCCTAAACCCGAATTGAACTCTATGAGACTCTATAACCCTTAATCCCGAGACCCCTTAAACCCCCGAATGCTAAAGCTTAAAACCCTAATCCCTAAACCCTACAACCCCAAAGCCCTAACCCCTAAACCCCAAAGCCCTAAATCCTAAACCCTAAACCCTAAACCCTAAACCCTGAACCCTAAACCCTAAACCCTAAACCCTAAACCCCAAAGCCCTAACCCCTAAACCCTAAAGCCCCGAAGTCCCCAACAACCCCAAAAGCCCCAACACCCAAAGGCCCAAGTCCGACTCTGTCCCCGACTGAACCCTAAACACAAAACCCCTGAACTCCTAAACCCTAAACCCCTAACCCCCTAAGACCCCTAAACCCTTGAAACCCCTAAATCCCTAAAACCCCTAAACCCGTAAACCCCCAAACCCTAAACCCTTAAAACCCCTAAACCCGAAGGCCCTAAACTTCAAAACCCTTAATAAAACCACTAAATCCCTAAACCCCTAAACCCTTAAACCCCAAACCCCAAACCCCTAAACCCCTAAACCCCTAAACCCCAAAGCCCCTAAGCCCTAAGCCCCCGATCCTTGGAAGAGGCACTCGGCCCACCGGCAGCGCCTTTGCGCACGCCGCTGTCGCTAGCGCCCGGGGGCCGAGAGTTGCAGACGGCAACGGTTTAGGGTTTAGGGTTCGGGGTTTAGGGTTTAGGGTTTGGGGTTTAGGGTTTAGGGGTTTAGGGTTTAGGGTTTAGGGTTTGGGGTTTAGGGTTTAGGTTTTAGGGTTTCAGGGGTTTAGGGTTTAACCTTGGGGGATTTGAGAGGTCGGGTGTCGGGATTGTTTTTTCTTTTTGTTTGTTTTTTCGATGTTGTTTTGTGGAGTCTCGGATTTGTTGCCATTGTCGGGTGTAGGGTTCAGGAGTATACGGTTGTATAGAATCCCCCGCCCTAAGAAATAGAGCGGGCATCCGGCCTCTTGGGATACCTTAAGAGGCCTCGAAGCCAGAAGGGCTTTCCAGTGCCCTGTGAAACGCGCCCAAAGCGTCAACTCACCCAAAATTAAGACGTGATCCTTGTCATGACAGAAGTAAAGTACACTGCTGAAAAGAGGTGTAGTAGTGCAACGGGTTCTTTCGGTTTTAAATTATGTAAATGGGTCGAAGGTTTCTTGTTTAGGGTGTCGCACTTCAATCGTTAATTCGGAGAATCCTGCCAACCCCATAAAGCCCACACCATTGTGCGCCAACCCTGTGCAACATAAAGTTTGACAAACATCTGATTTCAAAAGCAACCTCTTAGGCACCAAACCTTCCGCACGAGTTTTTAAAGGACCCTGCAGCATCTCATTCTAAACCGTCAAGCGATACCCTCAACCCCAGAACCCTCAAATTGAAGCCTAAACCCTCTAAGCTCTACCAGAGGCCCTCAGCCCTACACTCGCAACCCGAAGCTCTAAACTGCACCGGCCCTACTAAAGCATCTTTAGCAAGACGGCATGGCGGATGAGTGGTTATTCTTAGCGAGCACCAGACCCCTGTTTGAAGGAATGGCTTTTAACGCACAGTACTCAGACCGCTACTGTTTGAGAAATAATCCTTTGTTGCGGGGTCTGGGGCTCTCTGGGTAAGTACCGTTACAGCAGGATGCTTACTAAGCCCCCTCATCCCTCAACCCTCAACCCCGAACCCTCAACCCTGAATCCTGAGCCTTGAACCCTCAAGCCTTACCCCTCAACCCTTCACCCCTAGGCTCCTTCCCTCTGCCATTCACGCCCCGGGGGGGGGGGGAAGAATCGGCGAATTCTTGTCCGAAGTGTCCGTAATAAACCCTCAACATTCATTCACCCTGAACCTTAAACCCTAAACCCTAAACCTTAGAGCCTAAACCCAAGACCCTCAACCCTAAACCTTAGAGCCTAAGCCCAAAACCCTCAACCCTAAACCTTAGAGCCTCAACCCTCAACCCTTAACCTTAAACCTGAAAGCCCTAAACCCAAAACCTTAAAGCCGAAACTCTCAACCCTAAGGCCTAAAGCCTAAAGCCTAAGCCCAACATTTGCCCCTTTAGATGCCTTATAGATCCCTTTAAGGAACCCCCTTAAGGATCCCTTTAAAGAGCCTCCCCTATAGATGTTTTATAGATCCCTTTAAGGAACCCCCTTTAAGGATCCCTTTAAAGAGCCTCCCCTATAGATGTTTTATAGATCCTTTTAAGGAACCCCCTTTAAGGATCCCTTTAAAGAGCCTCCCCTATAGATGTTTTATAGATCCCTTTAAGGAACCCCCTTTAAGGATCCCTTTAAAGAGCCTCCCCTATAGATGTTTTATAGATCCTTTTAAGGAACCCCCTTTAAGGATCCCTTTAAAGAGCCTCCCCTATAGATGTTTTATAGATCCCTTTAAGGAACCCCCTTTAAGGATCCCTTTAAAGAGCCTCCCCTATAGATGTTTTATAGATCCCTTTAAGGAACCCCCTTTAAGGATCCCTTTAAAGAGCCTCCCCTATAGATGTTTTATAGATCCTTTTAAGGAACCCCCTTTAAGGATCCCTTTAAAGAGCCTCCCCTATAGATGTTTTATAGATCCTTTTAAGAACCCCCTTTAAGGATCCCTTTAAAGAGCCTCCCCTATAGATGTTTTATAGATCCTTTTAAGGAACCCCCTTTAAGGATCCCTTTAAAGAGCCTCCCCTATAGATGTTTTATAGATCCTTTTAAGGAACCCCCTTTAAGGATCCCTTTAAAGAGCCTCCCCTATAGATGTTTTATAGATCCTTTTAAGGAACCCCCTTTAAGGATCCCTTTAAAGAGCCTCCCCTATAGATGTTTTATAGATCCTTTTAAGGAACCCCCTTTAAGGATCCCTTTAAAGAGCCTCCCCTATAGATGTTTTATAGATCCTTTTAAGGAACCCCCTTTAAGGATCCCTTTAAAGAGCCTCCCCTATAGATGTTTTATAGATCCTTTTAAGGAACCCCCTTTAAGGATCCCTTTAAAGAGCCTCCCCTATAGATGTTTTATAGATCCTTTTAAGGAACCCCCTTTAAGGATCCCTTTAAAGAGCCTCCCCTATAGATGTTTTATAGATCCTTTTAAGGAACCCCCTTTAAGGATCCCTTTAAAGAGCCTCCCCTATAGATGTTTTATAGATCCCTTTAAGGAACCCCCTTTAAGGATCCCTTTAAAGAGCCTCCCCTATAGATGTTTTATAGATCCTTTTAAGGAACCCCCTTTAAGGATCCCTTTAAAGAGCCTCCCCTATAGATGTTTTATAGATCCTTTTAAGGAACCCCCTTTAAGGATCCCTTTAAAGAGCCTCCCCTATAGATGTTTTATAGATCCTTTTAAGGAACCCCCTTTAAGGATCCCTTTAAAGAGCCTCCCCTATAGATGTTTTATAGATCCTTTTTAGGAACCCCCTTTAAGGATCCCTTTAAAGAGCCTCCCCTATAGATGTTTTATGGATCCTTTTAAGGAACCCCCTTTAAGGATCCCTTTAAAGAGCCTCTACATTTGCCCCAGGGAGTCGCTGGTGCCCGAAAGCGACGCGCCAGACCCAGCTGACCCTTTGGTTTCGCAGCGGTTTGGGGGGGGGTTTAGGGTTTAGGGTTTTGGGGTTTTGGGGTTTAGGGTTATGGGTTTGGGGTTAAGGGTTTAGGGTTGAGGGTTTAGGGTTTGAGGTTTGGGGTTTAGGGTTAGGGGTTTCGGGTTAGAGTTTAGCCCCTAAACCCCCACGGAGCCCCTAAACCCCACGGAGCCCCTTCGTAGAACATGGAACCCCCAAAGCCCAGACTTCCGTTGGAGTTGCCGGACTGTCGGGGGTCCTTGAAACTCTAATAACCCTTAATTAAGGAATATTCCTTAGATCATCTTAGGGATCCTGTCATAACTTAAGGCATATTCCCTGAATAAGTGAGGAGGATTACGGGACCTTTAAGTATAGTTACCCTACTTATAGCCCTGGTTACGCAGTCCCAGGACCCTTCAAGCACATGACGACGCACAACCCCTGTGAAACCCAAGCGTCCGACCCGGATCTTGGTATTTGAATCCGAAGTGGTTCAAAAGGGTTTAGGGCGTGGGCGCAGCCCGATACTTAAAGGATCATGGGACTTAGTAACTAGGGTTATAATTAGGGTAACTATACTTATAACCCCAATTAAGGTACTTATAACCTTACTTACTAAGTCCCATGATCCTCCAAGTAGACCCTAAACCCTAAACCCGATAGATCCCTCTAAGGAACCCTATAGCTCCCTTTAAGGAGCGTACCCAAAATCCCCAACCCTCAAAGCCCAAAGCCACAGAATTCAAAGCCCCAGACCCTTAAGGCAAATGGCAAACCCAGAGCGCCGAAGCCCAAGCCCAAAAGACCGAAATCTAAAGCCTAAACCCTAAGCCTTAAAAACCCTATAAACCTTAAACCCTAAGCCTTAAACCCTAAACCTTAAACCCTAAGCCTTAAACCCTATAAACTTTAAACCCTAAGCCTTAAACCCTAAACCTTTTGCCCCAAACCTTTTGCCCCCGCTGTTCCTGGAACCTTGGACCTCGAATCAACGCTCCAGGTCGGTTCCCCCCAAAGCGGGGAGCTCGTTTGGGATCAAGGGTTTGGGGATTTTGGGGGGTTTAGGGATTTTGGGGGGTTTAGGGATTTAGGGGGTTTAGGGATGTGGGGGTTTGGGGATTTAGGGGTTTAGGGGTTTAGGGGTTTAGGGGATTTGGGGATTTTGGGGTTTAGGGGTTTAGGAGTTTTGGGGTTTAGGGGTTTAGGGGTGTAGGGCTTTAGGGATTTAGGGGTTTAGGTTTAGGGATTTAGGGGTTTAGGGGTTCAGGTTTTGGGGTTTAGGGGTTTAGGTATTGGGGTTTAGGGGTTTAGGATTTGGGGCTTGGGGTTTAGTGTCTACCTTAACCGACAAGAACCTACTTTTTTGTAGGGCCCCTATCAATTCCAGATTAGGGTTTAGAATAAGAACCCACAAAATCTAGGATGTGGTTGGTTAAGGTGGGGTTTAGGGTATGGGGTTTAGGGTTCAACGTTTAGGATTGGGGTTCAGAGTTTAGGGTCTGGTGTCTAGGGTTTAGGGTCTGGTGTCTAGGGTTTGGGGTCTGAGCTGTACTACAAGGGATCATAGGACGTAGTAACTAGGGTTGCAAATAAGGTAACTATACTTATACCTACTTATATTCCTAGTTAGCGTACGTATATCCTTACACATACTACCTAAGCCCCATGACCCTCGGGGTTTAGGGAGTTTAGGTTTGAGGGTTTATGATTAGCTGGGATAAGATATCACACTAGGCTAGCAGTGCGGATTTACACCTGTAGCTAAACATCCATCCGCCCAAAGCACACCATGACATTTAGAAACTAGAAAGTTCTTATATACCCACCTAGTTTGCCCACGAGTGTTTGGGCCTTGGGCCAAGGCACAACAGTTCGGGCTGACGGTGCAGGCCCTGGCCCCGTTCCGGGAGGGGGTCCGGGGCAAGCTCCTGACGCTCTCCTACGAGCGGGGGCAGGAAAAAAAGGCGCAGGCCAAGCAGGCGTCGTGGGGGACCATAGCAATGAAAGTGGACATGACTTGGCTTGGCAGGACGACAAAGCTGCCCGTCTTGCTGCGCAAAAGCGCAAGCGGGACCGCGCGGAGGCCGCGAAGCAGGCGCGGCAGGCTGCGAAGGAAGCAGCCGAACTGGCCCGAAAGGAAGCCCATCGGAAGCAGGCCGGCATAGCGCGTGAACCTGTCGCGGCGGCTGGTCATTTTGCCTTCGAAGGTCCGCAAAGACGCCAAAGACAGAGAGTACGAGGCCCGAAAAAAATTTCGGGCCGAAGCAAAGGACCTCGGGGAGCAGGACCGATTGCTAGTCATGTTGCGACTCAACGCCCCGTGTCAGACTTGCAGTATGGCATGCAGGCCTTCAAGAAGCTCCAGGACCGCCGCGAGAAGGACAAGACGCGGAAGGCGGACAAACGGGCAGAGGAAAAAAAGAAAAAGGAGGAAGCGGCCAAGCTGGAGAAGGCCGACCCGGAATCTTGCGCGGCCTAGAATCCAATGTTCTAAAGATTGACCGCAGAGGAGCTGGCTCCGGTGCGTGACCAGCTGCGAGCCCTGTGGAACCGCGAGCCGAAGAAGCAGGCCGCGTGCAAGCAATGCCTGCATTCCTGAGGCATGTCCTGATAGCAGGAAGTGCTCATGCAGTACATGCTGCTGAAGGCCAAGGCGCAAACGCGCGAGAGCGACAGACTCGCCTCGACTTGTCAACATGCATCCTCTCCAGCTTAGTCAGCATCGAAGCTGACGCAGGAGGAAAAGGAAAACGCGGCCACAGAGGACCAGGAAGCAGCACCCGCCGTGTGTTCCGAGGCAATGACGCTCGGCCGTGGCTCGATCTGTTGCCCATACTCCATCTGCAACCGAGGCCCCCAAACCTGCAGTCCGACCACATCACGACACGGAGACGGACGCTCAGTACGAGCAGGCCGCGGAAGACGTGCCTTCAGAAAGAGCCGGAGAACTCGACATGATCAGGAACTCTTCGGCCATCTTGATGAGGCGCTCGAAAAGAATCCGATCTGCAAAATAAGAGTACGAGTCATGGCATCCGACTCCCGAGGACGGTGCCTCTAACCATACCCAGCAGGCAGGAATAGAACGAAGTGTGCCAAAGTTCAGATCATCGCCCGCTGCATTGAGGCCGGCGATGATGTGGCACGAACGGACGCGGAGGCTGCTTGCTCGCGCGGAAAGAAACTCGAAGCCGTCGGCAACCGGAATTTCTGGGGCCTTGCACACGCATTTCATGAAAGCAAGCAATAAAAGTGGAGGAGAGGCTCAGAGGAGGGCTTGCGGTTCACGGTTTGCTCCTTGTCTCTTGGTTTTAATATCACGTTGCATGTCTCTTTAGGGTTTTATAAGAGCCGGGTAGAATGCTTCTGAGTATATGAGGAACCCTCCCGTTAGTTTAGGGTTTAGGGTTGCGGGTTTGAGAGAACTTGTATTTAGGATCTGTGGCGTAATGTATAGCCTTGATCCACAAGCCCGCCTTTGTTTAGGTGCCCTGAGGGGTTTCAGCATCCCGTTTTTGCGCAATGCGATGGTACTGTTGATGATGTAAATCCTGCATTAATCATAGTGAGGAATATACCATAATTGCCATAGTCTTGGGTCATTAAGGTAATGCAGGGTTCAAATCATCAACCGTAGCTACCAGAAAGGTTGGGGTTTGGCGTTTGGGGATGGATGGTCCAGGGTTCAGGGATAGAAGAATGCCACAATGGTTCGATTAAGGTTCTACAGCGGTCCTGTAATTCGGGTTTTGTAAAGGGTTCTGCACTTCAAGCCTGAAACCCTAAACCCAAACCGTAAACCCGGAACCCCTACACCCTGAACTTTGAAACCTGAAGCGGAAACCCTTCCGCAACAAGGCCAGAACCGCTCTTTCAGCGTGACCATCGCCAAGGCTAACAAAGCCCTTTAGGGCGTTTGTCTGTGGCCCCGTAGGCTTGTCGGCCTTCCTTGAACCCAAAAGACCCCAAACCCCTGAACACTTGATCTCCTAAATGCCTAAACGTCTAAACCCCTAAACCCTTAACCCTTTTGGTAGTGTTCTTTGGTAGTCTTCTTTTGGAGTCTTTGAAGGCTGAAGGTGAAGGGGTGGGGTATCAGGGTTTGAGCTTTTGGCTTACTCTGAACTTGAACCTTCAAGCTCTTCCTTCCCAGCCGATAGTTCTTAAACGGTAGACCCTGAGACTCTGCAGACGGAAAAGAGGGGATCGCAAGCAAAAATCCTCAGCCCGAGCCCCCCAAACCTTACGAATCCAGAGCAAAAACTTTTTGCTACCAGCTCTGCAGCTCATCACAGCGTGTGGGTTCTTAGATGAGGTGGTTTTGGTTGTTTCCTTGGTTCCCTAGGCACTAGGCTCTTGTATCCTATACCCTAAACCGTAGGCCCGAAACCCTACAGTCTAAACCTAAGTTCATAGACGTTGAACAGATCTTCTATGATGCCCTGTATTGCAGGAGAAAGCTTGCAGAGTTACCCCTAGCAACGTTGAAGGTGATATCGAAGCCTCAACGTTGGGCATGTCAACATTATTGCTCAGCTACATTCCGATGTTTAACACCGCTCCACCATCAACGACAAAAAACACTAAGTACCTCCAAACACTTCCAGAAATCCTCAAAGGAACACTGTTCCGATGGAAGAGCCCCTAAAGCATTATCTTCCTTAGTTGACAGCTTCTTGGTCTTCTTGGTAGGGACTCAGTAGATTGGGAGGAGCCTGCGCAAGCTGCTTGCGGGTTGAGGATTGTCAGACAAGTCTAGCGTGTACGGGCGCGGGGTTTAGGATTCAGGGGCCCGAAACCCTCGAGCTGAAGTCTGAAATGGCGAGTTTGAATAGCCAGAGCTGCTGAAAGATGGGCTGTTCGGGCAAGCGGCTCCAGTGAACGATAGCAACCCGGAAACTACACCCAGCTTGGAGGATCGGGGGACATACTAAGTAGTTATTTTAGAGAGTCATAAGTACCATAACCCCAATTAGGGTCCCTATTAGGGTACTTATAACTCTACTTACTATCTACTTACTAAGTCCCCCGACCCTCCAAGAGGCTGCCGACCACTAGATCCTCAAGCCGTACAGCCCTAAGAACTCGCAAGACAATGCAGGTTTGTGGTAGCTGAAGGTGAACCCAGAGACTCCAACCAACATCCCTTACTTCAAGAACATACCTTAAAGTTTAGTAGGGCCCCTACTATATTTTCAGGTGTACTCCTTAATTAAGGGATAACATAGGAACCCGATTAAGAAACCCTGGGCCTAGAACCCAAAATAGTAGGATTCATATGAGGAACCTAAATAAAGGCCCAAGGTTTCTTAATCAGGTTCCTACATTTTTGGAGTCTCTGGAACCCTCGACCCTCTATCTTCGAGTCTGCCAGTTTTTTTTTGGGTCCTGGCAATCCGGTATTGAGGGTGAGAGTCAGGGGAGGTGGGGTTGAGGCAACAAGCCTTAAGCCCTAAGTCCAAAAAACCTTCGGCCGAGAGACTCCAATATCTCTCAGGAATATACTTCAACTCATATAAGGGGTCCTCGTACACTTTAAGGTAAATTCCTGAATTAAGGGATCTTGGAGTCTCTGGGGACAACAAATACTAAACCCCAAAGCTATCCTAAAACCCACAATCCCTTTGTCTGCAGGCTCCTGACAGCGAGTTAGGCCTAGATGTGTCCCACGAGCCCGGCGGCAAGGTGCCCGGAGTTTATGCGTCAGTGATTCTTCAGGGCGGCAGGTTTTGGGATTCAGGGTTTAGAGTTTCAATGCTTTACGCTTCTAGGAGTTTCGTTTCGGGTTCAGGGTGTTGTGGGGAAGGGGTTACTTGGAGGGTCGGGCAACTTCGTAAGTAGATAACAAGTAGAGTTATAAGTACCCTAAAAGGGACCCTAATTGGGGTTATGGTACTTATAACTCTCTGAAACAACTACTTCTTAAGTTCCCCGACCCTCCAAGTAGGGATTCTACGGTTTCTAGCTCTTGGGCTCCTAAGCTGGCTGGCGGGCCCTAAATCCAAATCACCCGGGTTTGGAGTACTATACTTGAATACATTTTTTTGGTACCTCTTGCTTAAAGGAACCATTATGAAAAATTAAAGTCTATACTTTTTCTCCATGGTTACTTCAAAGTCCAGATCAACACGCACATCCTCCACGGTGAAGGGTTTAGGGTGGAGGGAGATCCCCAAACCCAGTGAGAGCCGCATCCAAAACTTGCTCGTGCGACTTTGCCACCCTACTTGGAGGGTCGGGGGACTTACTATGTAGCTATTTTGTAGAGTTATAAGTACCATAACCTCAAATAGGGTGCCTTTTAGGGTACTTATAACTCTATTTATTACCTACTTACTAAGTCCCCCCGACCCTCCAATTATACCCTGAACCCTAAACCGTTTCAGCAAGCCGACCTGCTCTCGTGCTCCATGGTGAGTAGGGTTTAGGGTTTAGGGCCAGGGATGGCGGTGATGAGGATCACAATATTCGTAGTAATTGTGCTGGTGGCAATGGTGCGGGTGACGGTTGTAGAGCGCCCCAAACACTGAACATGAAGATGCTACAGTTGAGAAGTGAAATCTCGGAACTTTTTGGGGCCAGGTGCTTCGAGTGGATGGAATTCGGCCGACCGGTGCGGTGAAGGTCGGTATTATCAGGTTGAAGTTTTGCAGGTTTAGGGTTTAGGCTTACTGCGAACTACAAATGGAGGATTCCGTTCGTTGTTATGATCCGTACTTCCATGACCAGTCCTCTGAGTTCAGCAGTGATGCTTCGGCTTGTGTTTGACGGTGTAGGATATGTTGCGTTTATTGCTGCGGCTGAATCTAATGTCGATCATCATGGCAGTCTTTTTGTTATTGCATGGTTGGCAGTGTTTACGATGATGATGATGATGGTGATGATGCTGTTGTTGATAATGACGGTGATGACGGAGAAAAAGAAGAATAATGAGAAGAGAAGACTGCTTTAATGTTGTTGATGGTGATGCCGATGAAAATGTGAAGAGGCTGCTGCTGCTGCTGATATCTGCTGATCATGATGCTGCAGACGAGAAGACTGCTGATGAGGCTTCTGGAGAGTGCCGGTGTCGGTGATGATGTCGCTGCTGATGGTGATGCAGATACTGGTAAACAGCCATTGTTCGTTACCTCATCGATGCTTCTTGTATTTATGATGTTAATCATGCTGTTGGTAATGTGCCCCCATCCAGCCACATTTTTTCACTGAGAAGTTAGACTGACTCGCCCGATCCGATGTCTTGCTTCAACAACCAGTAGTGTAAAGACCTGATAGAAAAATAACGCCCCTACTTCAATAGGGATCGTAGTAGCTAGTAGCAGTCCTCACATCAATACCGTACGCCCTATAAAACGCTACAGCACCGACATCCTTATGACTCGAATGAAGCTCTGCAAAACCCAACAAAACCTTATGAACAAAACAGTACTCGGCGAAAGCCGAATAAAACCTGTACAAGCCTTATCAATACCTATCAGCACTAGCGGCGACCACTGTTTCCTGTTGTAATGCTATTCGTTGATTGAGGGGTATGGGGCTCTCCCAAACCCTTAACCGTCATCGCGAAACCCTGAACCCTAACCCCTAAATTCCTAGACCCTCAGCCCTGAACTCCAAGCCCTCAACCCCTTAGCCCTAAACTCCTAAACCTTAAACCCGAACCCTAATCCCAAGTAGGGTTCCTCTCAACGTGAAGTCCCACGGAGCCTTGGAGGGTTGGGGGACTTACTTAGTAGTCATTTTATAGTGTTATCAGTGCCATAACCCAATTAGGATCCCTTTTAGGGTACTTATAACTCTAATTACTTGTTACCTACATACTACGTCCCATACCGTAGCCTCCCTTGTAGATCCCCTTAAGGATCCCTTTAAGGAGCCCTTCTAAGGAGCCCCCCGACCCTCCAAGTAGGGACCCTAAACCCTAAACCCTGTACTAGAGTACCTTATCTTGTCTGCTGAAGTATGCCTCCCCGTACCGCCCCTCAGTCGTAACTGGCATTCCAGACTCCCCTTGGGCAGACGGAAAAGAGGGCAAACCTAAACAAAGAACCCTAAACCCTAAACCCCTAAACTCTAAACCCAAAGTAGGCCTGGAACCAGCAGTGCCTTGCGTCATCGACTCCGGAGCAGGCCGGATGAGCAAGAATCAAAGGGAAAAGGAGGGAGGGACCCTTAATGGGGACCCCTACCCTATAATGGGCTATATAATGGGTATATATATATATATATGTATATGTAAAGGGTATATACCTAGGGTCCTTATTATTATTGTTATTATTATCATGATTATTATGATTAAGGGTCCCTCCTTTTACCCTTGGAGAGGAGCAAGAAGTGGAGCGATCAGGGGATCTGGGTTAAGGGTTAAGGGTTTAGGAGTTTAGGGTTCAGGGTTTAGGGGTTTGGGGTTTAGGGATAAGAGTCTAGGGTTTAGGGATTAGAGTTTAGGGGTTACGGTGAAGGATTAGGGGATTAGGAGGGGTTGGAGGAGGGGGTTTAGGGTTACAGGGTTGCAGAAGGGTCAGGTTTTAGGGTCGAGGCGGACTCCTACACGAACGGGGAAAGAGGCCACGTTGGAAAGCTTGCTCGACCGGGCACAGGAGTTCGCTTCTGGGGTGAGGATGGTCGATACCTCCTGCAACCTAAGCTTGAAGGTGAGTTGCCTGAGCATTTTTTTGAAAATGGGTGTGAAGGTGAGTGCACCCTTGTATCGCCACAGGATGAGCGTTGGCTCATCCGGCAATGCCAGCGGCCGGCGGAGGTAGCGGGATTATGTGTGAAGGAGCAGTCTGGCTCTTGATGTAATCGACAGTCAGTGAAGGAGCAGCGGCTCCAGCCTGTCTGTCCGATTTGGGAGGAAGGGGAATCCTCCCGGACCAGGTCGACTCATCATTGGCGACGGTGTGCTGTCTCGGGGGATGAGGGGATTTAGGGCTTATAGGGTTTGAAGGTTTCGGGTTTGAGAGGTTTCGAGTTTGAGAGGTTTGGGGTTGAACGGCTTAGCATCAAGGGTTTTGGGTGTCGTGTTCAGGGCGGGTTTAAGCATTTGGCGCTTAAGCGTTTGGGGTTTAAGGAATTAGGGTTTCGAGGGCTTACGGGCTTGGGGCCTTTTGTAACTTTGGCGTTTAAAGTCACAGCAAGCCTCTGAAGGTTTGTCGCGTTGAAGGCTCTATGGGGTTCTTTAGGGTTCTGTTCTGAGGGCTTTCGGGTTCGAGGGGTCGGGGTGCAGAAAGTCAACTCAGGGTTTTCACTTTTGTGTTCGGGGCTCAGGGTTTAGGGCTTGGGGGATCTTGATGTGGAGTGTTTGACAGGTTTTTGGCGTTGAAGGCTGTTGTTTCCGTGGTTGAGGCTTTGCACTTAGGAGTTTTCGGTGCTGGGGTTTCGGGTTTAGGGTTGGGAACTTGCGTTCTTTCCAAGGGTAAAAGGAGGGACCCTTAATAAGGACCCCTAGGTATATACCCTTGATATAGCGATTATATACCCATTATATAGCCCATTATAGGGTAGGGGTCCCCATTAAGGGTCCCTCCTTTTCCCCTTTGATTCTCGGGATTTTGGCTTTAGTGGCTGGGGTTTCGGGTCGAGGGCTCCGGAGGCTTCAGCGCTTTACGGGTTTTAGAGGTCTTTCCAGGGTTTCACGTAAAGCCCTAAACCTCAAGCCCTAAACTCTAAACCGTAAACCAAGCTTCTTTCCCTAAAACCCAACGCGCTTTTTTTGGGATGCTAAGTCCAAAGCCTTAAGCCCTAAACCCTCAACCTTAAACCCAAAGCCCTTTTTGGGTTCAGGGGGAGAAACCCTAAAACCTAAACCCTAAACCCTAAACAGTAAAGGCTTTCCTGTTTGGTGCTTGGGGCCGGGTGAGGAAGATCTGGGGCATCGGCCTTTGGTGGGTAGCGGTGCTGTCGGGTTTCAGGGTTCCCGGATTTGGGGCTTCCGGGGTTTAGGGCTTCAGAGTTCTACGGTTTAGGGGTTTAGGGGTTGGAGGTTTTTTAATTTTAGGGTTTAGGGCTTTAGGGGTTCAGGGCTTTAGGGTTCTAGGGGTTCAGGGTTTAGGGTTTTGATGGTTTAGGGTTGAGGTTTTAGGTTTGCTACCCCCTTTGTAAGTTTGTTTGTTGCGGCTCCGGAATAGGTAGAGGGACTCTCTCGGCCCGAGTGATGCGGAACCCTCGAGCTCCAGGACTTAACGCTTTAAGGCCCTAAGCCGTGCGCCCTCGAGCCTAAACGTTGAGGTAAGGACAATGGCGGTGTAGGAGCTGGTCCCCTTAGAGGAGTTCGTGTTTTTCGAACACATTGTCTTGTCTGATCGGGGCTCTAATTACTTATTTGGCTCATCCTAGAGATCATGAACCCTAAACCCTGAACCTTGAACCCTAGACCCTTACCGGCAATCATGAGCCAAGAGCCCAGTGCAGCCTGCTAAGAAGGTTTTCGGGTCCTTCGCTTCACGGTTTACGGTATGGTTTGGGTAAGGTTTAAGGCTAAGGACTCGGATCTAGGGTGCTACATCTAGTGTTGCTTGCGCTGGGGTTTGTTTTGTTTAGGGTTTCGGGTTTTTGGTCTTTTTGGGTGTTGGGTTTGGGGTTTAGGGTTCCGGCAGGCCATTGCTGTCGGAGATAAGATCACGAGCGTGAACAACGTGGCAGCAGATCCAGTCAAGATGTTGAAGGCCCGGCTGTGAAGCGAATGCCCGCAAGAAGAAGAAGAAGCACGTCACACGTAGCCCCAAAACAGTAGCAGTAGTCAGACTAATTTTGGTGGTGGTTGTCATACTCCTGACATTACTAATAGAGATCCACAGAAACCCCATGTAAACCCGATGAAGGTGATGTCAGCAGCCTTGCCCCCCCCCACACGTTTATAGAATCTGCCGCCCACTAAACCCTAAACCCTAGGCCCGAGACCCTAAACCCCACGCTTGAAGCCCTGCACGCCAAACCCTACGCCGTACATCCCAGAGCTCCAAACCAGACAACCCTAACGCCGTGAATCCGGACAACCCCCAAGCCCCAAAGCACCCTAAAACCCCGAATCCTACAGTCCTAAAAGCCCCCAAAGCCCCGAACCCTGAACCCTAAAACCCTGCTCTGACTCCTGTTTTGGCTTCTTCAGTCCCGAGTCTGCAGCCCCAAGAATTAGGCCAGCCAGAAGTAGCTTCAATGAGAAGACAGCATGACAGGATCTAGGGGGCGTAGGAGTAAAGGATTTCGGGTTTTTGGGGCGAGGCTTTCAGATCCGGATCTCGCTAGACATGTTCCGCAATAGGCGGATTGGGCTGCGGGCTTGAATCCAAATACCGACAGCTCTTAAAATCTAATCCCACAACCCCAACCGCTAATCTTGAACACAAAGCCTGCCGTGAGGGCTCGAGTGCCTAATAATCATGCATTCCTACCGAAATACCTATGCATATTACCTCGCTGTGGACTCGTAAAGAACTGTGAAAACTCATGGCGAAGCCTTATACTGCCCTCACAGAGCCCTTGTGGATCCCCCTATCCAGTCTGCCCTCCGACCCCCTAACCACACTCCACTATATTGTATATGATTTACGGTGTATTCTTCATTGAAGGGATGTTGGGGTCTCTGGGCCCCTGACGTTCCAGGTAGGGTTTAGGGTTTTAGGGTTTTCGATCCTCTAACCGTCCATCCCTAAACCCTAAAGTCGAAACCCTAAACCATCAACCTTAAACCCTAAGACCTTCAAAGAAAAACCCTAAGTCTCCCTAGCCCTCCATTTAGGGTTTTTAGGGTTTTCGATCCCCTAGCCTTCCAAGAGCATGGAAGGCCTTATAGTAGGATCCCTTTATATGCTTTAAGGTTTTTTCCTTAATTATGGGATATCGGAACCCTAAACCCGAGACCCTGAGAACCCTAAACCCTAAAACTCTGAACCTAAAACCCCCCAAAAACGCAAAACCGAAAGCCCCCGCCTAACCTTCCCTTTAGGGTTTAGGGTTTAGGGTTTTCGATCCCCTAACCTTCCAAGAGGGTTTAGGGTTTAGGGTTAGGGTTTAGGGGTTTAGGGTTCAGGGTTTTCCGCGAGACAGCAGTGAAGGCCTGCGTGTCGCAGCAGACGTTGAGCTTGGAAATCGAGCGTGAGGCCATCCGTTCGTTTACCACTTTGGGGTTTTAGGGTTTAGGGCAGTTTGGTGTTTTAGGGGTTTCGGGTTTAAGGTGTTAAGCGTTTTGGGTTTTAGGGTTTAGGCCAGTTTAGGGTTTAGAGTATTTCGTAAGGGTTTAGGGCTTTAGGGGCTTCCGGCTTCTCGAGTTTAGGGTTTGGGATCCGTTCGTTTCCTTCTTTGGGATTCCCAGAGAGTCCAATACCCTTTGAGTAAGGAATATACCTTAAATCATATGGGTAGTTGTCAAAATTAGGGTTCCTTTTTGGGTTATGGTCTTTGGGTTTTAGGGGTTCAGGGATTTAGGGCGTTAAGGTAAAACTGTAGGGGTTTAGGGTTTGGGATCCGTAGGTTTTCTTCTTTGAGGTTTAGGGGTTCATCTAAGAGCTCTTCTAAGGGATCCATAAGGTCCCTTAAGAGTTCCTTTAAATAAGGTTTTAGGTTTCAGGGTGGTAGGGCTTTGGGGTTTTAGGGTTTTAAGCAGGTTTAGGGTTTAAGGGTTTTAAGGGGGGTTTAGGGTTTTAGGGTTTAGGGTTTTAGGGTTTTAGGGGTTTCGGGTTTAGGGTTTAGGGTGTTGAGGTTTAGAGTTTTCGCTTTTCAGGGCTTAGGGTGGTTTAAGGTTTTCAGACAGAGGTCCTAGCACAAGGGGTTTGGTGGGCAGGGCCTGGAGTTTAGCTTTTGGTTTGGGGTTAAAACAACATTTTCCTACTAGGGGTCTACTGTTTTGTACAGAGATCTATGGGTTTTTGGACACTTCTAGATGGTTTTGATTGACCCGGATTTATTCTAAGGTGCTTTAGCAGTGCTTATGGAGAGGCTGTATGGTACTTAACGATGTTTTGGGATTTAGAGGGTTTAGTTTGTGGTGGTACCCTAAACCCTAAACCCGTAATCCTAAACCCTAAGCTATAGGGTCCTGGGACCCTTCTTATAGTGCTGATGAACAGAGAGTTCGGAAAAACTGCCAATAGTATCACCGAATGGGTGGTGGTCAAAATTAGGGTCCCTTTTTGGGTCCTTAATAAATACGGCACCTAATATTTAGGGTACCCAAAAAGGGACCCTAATTTTGCCAACCACCCGAATTCCTTCGATTTATTAAGCGCCCCGATACGATACGAGATCCGCGGCATAGGGAGCAGGGTGTCAGACGGGCGGGGAAGACTCGGGGTTTGGGGTCCGGGGTTGGGTCTACTTAGACTAGGATGCCCAGTAGTACCCTTATTCCCTTTTTGTAGTCCTAGGTTCCTTATAAAGTTACCCAATACCAAAAAGAGAGGTCTTTTTATTCTTAGGTTACTGGGTATCCTAGCAGCGGTCATGGGGCTTAGTAACTGGGACTATACACAAGGTAACCGTACTTATAGGTACTTATGACCCCAATCAAGGTATTTATATCCTGACTTGCTAAGTCCAATGACCCTCCAAGTAGGGTTTAGGGACTAAGGTTTTTGCTCTTCTTGCGCTACTACTGCGAGCAATACTAAGCAAACACAAGATTGGATTATTGATTCGGTGCGCGAAGAGTTAGTGCAAACGCATCGGTATAGCAACTGGGGAACGCCATACCGAGAAAGCCGAAGAAGAGTATTGACTCGAGTCCAGATATTCCAAAATCTTGAACGCAACAGCCAACTGCTAACCCCAAACCCCAAATAGGGACTATCCCACTCCCAAACAATGAAATCCTAAACTCTAAGCCGTGAGCCCTAAACTCAAAAGTGGTTGAACAAACAAAGCAAAAACAACGTCAAACCTTTAACCCTCGAGGCCCAAATCCGAAAAACACCAGCACCTGCCAAGGGCCCAAACACCTCTCCAGTGAGGTCGGCAGGGGGGGGCGGGGGAGAAGGGAGCGTTTAGGGTTTAGAGTTGGATTTGCGGGTTTCGAGTTTAAGTGTCAGGGCTCGGGTTTAGGGTTTGCGCGTGGCCTTATTGCTCAATATGGAGGTCAATATCATTACGAACAGCATTCCGCCATAACTGCATGTTCCGCCGCAAAGCATATTCTATATTTACAAAGGCCTCGCTATCAGACCAGGCGTTTTGGGGTGTGTGCAAGGGCTATGCGGGGGGTACTTGGGGAAGATCATGGGGCCCAGTAACTGGGGCTATAAATAGGGTAACTATGCTTCTATTTACTCAAAAACATGCCGGTTAAGGTACTTATATCCTTACGTACCCTAAATCCTAAACCGTAGGACCCTCCAAGCAACATTACTACACGTATTTAGACCGAAACTGGGAAGTAGCCCTTTTCGCTGCATCCAGAGGGTATACAGGGTTTAGGGATGCAGGGTTTAGGGTTTATTTATTTTTGTTAAAGGGCGTTTTCTGTAAGGACACTTACAGGCTTAGAACTTTCGTGCAAGTCTTGATGAAAGTGCTCGGGTTTAGAGTCTACCTTAACCCCACGTAACCTACCTTTTTAAAGACGTATATAAAGAAATCATATTAGGGAACCCTAGAAAGGTAGGTTCCTTAGGGTCCAGGTAGAGTCTCGAGTCGAGGAGCCCGGGTAACCGTTTGATACTGCTGATGGACAAAATCCTGCATTACCCGTCATAGGGAATATACCATAATTCCCATAGTTTAGGGTCCTTAGGGTCATGCAGGATTTTGTCCATCAACAGTACGAGTTGTTGGGCCTTAGTGGATTTCTTAAGTGCTTTGGAGGGTTTCTTCGGGCTTGGGGTTTCATAATCCGTTTTCCCCAGTATCCCCTTTAAGCATAAGAGTAGATGTGTTTGTGTTTCCTTCAGTCCGACAAAGGAGACCCCAGTATAAGAAGGGTAGAGAGGTACTACTGGGCGACCTACGGTTGATGATATAGATCCTGCACTACCTTAAGGACCCTAGACTATGGGAATTATGGTATATTTCCTTATTATGGGTTCTGCAGGATTCATGTCATCAACAGTAGCAACCCAAGCAGCCCAACCCCGACCGTTATGCCGAACCAATGAACCGTCGAAAAACCAGCGATCCGAACCCGCCATCTGTCTCTTAGGGGTACTTAGAAATAATTTTTGATTTTTGGTTATTATAATCCCTAAGAAACAGCTAAAATTGTAATTTTTGCTAGGGTTCCAAGTTCAGTATAGGTCTGTCCACCTGTCTTATCTATCTATCTATCTGGCAATCTACCTACCTTATTACATTTCTACCTATCTGCTTATCTAACTATCTACCTAGTAGCTTATCTACCGATATATCTATCTACCTAGTCAGCTATCTACCTTGTCTATCTAAGCTAGTCAACAGAAAACAAATCCGAAGCGTCAAAAGCGCACAAACTTAGACTGCAGACCCAGGCTCTTTACCTTGTAGGTGGTTTTTCAACCAAGCCATACCTGGACCTTAAGGAACCTACCTTTTTAGGGCTCCCTAATTGGATTTCTTTATATAAGTCCTTAAAACGGTAGGTTCCTTAGGGTCCAGGTAAGACCCTAAACCCTAAACCCTAAGCTCTTTCCAGGAGTGGGGTGCTGAGGGCGGAGGCCACCGAGTTCATTCCACGAACAGGCCTCGAGGTGGGCCTTAATGAGTAGAATAGGGTAGTTTAGGGTTTAAGGCTTAGGGTTTAAGGTTTCTAGGGTTTAAGGCTTAGGGTTTAAGGCTTAGGGTTTAAGGTTTAGGGTTTAAGGCTTAAGGTTTAAGGTTTACGTTTAGGGTTTAGATTTCGGTCTTTTGGGCTTGGGCTTCGGAGCTCTGGCTTTGGTATTTGCCTTAAGGGTCTGGGGCTTTGAATTCTATGGTTTTGGGCTTTGAGTAGAATAGGGTTCCTTTTAGAAGGGGTCATAAAGGGATACTATAAGGGCTTTTTTCATATAGGCGTTTTAATAAGTAGAGCAGGGTTCCTGGCAGAGACAGTTGGATGTAGGCTTTTTGGGCCTAGTTCCCCGGATTAACATAGGAGTTTACCCTACTTAAGGATCATGGGAATTGCTAACTGGGGTTATAAATAAGGTAACCATACGTATAAGTACATATAACCCTAATTAAGGTATTTATATCCTTACTTACTGAGTCCCATGATCCTCCAAGTAATGGTAGTGGTATTTCTTGAAAGAGCCCTTGGGTTTCTTCGGAGTCTCAGAAATCCTACTTGTTGAGGTTCCCACGAGTGTTACTACCCGAAGCCCTACATCCTAAAGCCTTCCACCCTTTTGGCTTTTAGGTTTAGGTTTAGTGTTTGGGGTTTAGGCTTAAGCGTTTAGGTTTAGGGTTTGAGGTTAGCGTGAGGGTTTAGGAGCTACTCAGAGCATCAGGGATTTGGCACTCGATTTAGGAGCCCTTCTACCCCTTTAAGAAATCAACTCAGAGGGTCGGCAAATCCCGTGGACGTGTGCTATGGAATAAGCTCCCCAAAACCATCCTTATCGCCTTGGAGACCGAATTTCATGGCAGTAGTATGAACGGAACCTCTTGGTAAAGACCTCAAACCGGGGCCCTTCGTGATGTACGGCTTTGGCGTTTGGGGTCTTAGGGTTCCAGATTCTTTAGTTTTGAAACTATAGTATACTTCCGGTAGCTCAAAACGCAGCATGTTCTTTTTGCAAGGGCACTCCAGAACCTTGTTTTTTCAGAGGGTTCTGAGTTTGCGGGTGCATTCTGCAGGTCCTGGCTGAGAGTTGGGTTCGGGGCTTTTGGGTTTAAGGGCTTAGGGTCGGAATCCAGGGTTTTAGGTGTTAGGTTTTTGGGGTTGAGGATGTAATATGAGGGCCTGAATAATCAACGACCTCGATCCCTTTGGTTCTTTTGCAATTACGGATACTATAACATACCCTTAGTAGCTGAGTGGATGCACTTTACACTTTTTGGGATAATATTACCCACGCTAAAACTGAAAGTGTACACTTTTTGGGGCTTGTGAACTCAACAACTCAGGTTTAGAGGTTTAGGGTTTAGGGATTCGGGATTTGTGTGTTTGGGGTAGTTTGCGGCTTAGTATGAACTCAGCAGCTAAGTACCCCAAGACCAGGATCCTGAAGCACTGGTACTCAGGATCCGAAGAAGGCTGATCTCTAAACCCTAAACCCGAAACTCTGAACCCTAAACCCTAAACTCATCCTAAGAAGGCTGATCCCTAAACCCTAAACCCTACACTTTGAACCCGAAACCCTAAACTCACCCTAAGAAGGCTGATCTCTAAACCCGAAACTCTGAACCCTAAACCTTAAACTCATCCTAAGAAGGCTGATCCCTAAACCCTAAACCCTACACTTTGAACCCGAAACCCTAAACTCACCCTAAGAAGGCTGATCTCTAAACCCGAAACTCTGAACCCTAAACCTTAAACTCATCCTAAGAAGGCTGATCCCTAAACCCTAAACCCTACACTTTGAACCCGAAACCCTAAACTCACCCTAAGAAGGCTGATCTCTAAACCCGAAACTCTGAACCCTAAACCTTAAACTCATCCTAAGAAGGCTGATCTCTAAACCCTAAACCCGAAACTCTGAACCCGAAACCCTAAACTCATCCTAAGAAGGCTGATCTCTAAACCCAAAACCCTAAACTCTGAACCCTCAACCCTAAACTCATCCTAAGAAGGCTGATCCCTAAACCCAAAACCCTACACTTTGAACCCTCAACCCTAAACTCATCCTAAGAAGGCTGATCTCTAAACCCTAAACCCTAAACTTTGAACCCTCAACCCTAAACTCATGCTCAGAAGGCTGATCTCTTTCCTTGGTTCCAAGGCCCTTTTGCATCTGACGAGGATCGAACTTCAGTTAGTATAGTATAGTACACTACGGCACGGAGTGGTATAGTACAACTTGTGTAGAGAAGAGTAGACTAGAGTAGAGTAGAGTATTAGATCTCTGATTCATTTTATCCGCTCCCCTTACTACCAAAACATAGTTGGGATCCTGATCTTACGTCGAGAAAGGCCAATATTTCCATAACCATGCAGGAGTCTAGATGAGGGCTTTCCTGGCCTTGCCCGGAGGTGCCAACCACCACGGACGATTGAGAATTGGGTAAATGAATTTCTGAAGCCAGCCACGGCACCACGGCAACAGTAGAGGGGATTTCGGGTACAGAGGAGGGTAGATGGGTTTACGATTGGCGTGCGGTTTTGCTCTTGGTGTTCAGGCTTAACAGGGAACCCGAGCAGTGCTAAAAAACAAAGTCTCAGGACTCACGTCCTAACTATTAGGCCAAAAACCCTAGCTGCACAACCCCCGGCCTTCAAACCGCAACCCAAACCCTAAAGCCCTGAAGCCTAAGGAGCTAACGCCTAAACCATAAACCAGAAAGCCCTCAAGCCCTGAAGACCTAAACCCCAAAGCCTAAAGCCCAAAGAGCTCCCAGATAGGGTTTAGGGCTTAGGGGTGTAGGGTGTATGGGGTTTAGGGTTTAGGGTTTAGGGGGTTTAGGGTTTAGGGTTTGGGGGTTCGGGGTGCAAGGTTTAGGGTTTATTCTCCAAGATGTGTTCGAGTTCGAGAGCTAGCTCTAGGATTTTGTGAGAACCCTCGAGCCTGGTTTAGGGTATAGGGTTTAGGGTTTAGGGTTTAGGGTCCCTAAGCCCTAAACCTATACCCAAACCCTACACCCTAAACCCCAAAACCTAGACCCGTGGTGTTTACGGTTTGAGCATTTACAGTCCGGAGGGTTTTGCGGATCTATATAAGTAGGGTGCAGGGTTTAGGATTTAAACTGAGACGTATGCTTCTTGAAACATGAAGGTTCAAGGGGTGGTGTGGAACGAAAAAACTACAGGAGGAGTAATGGCATATAGCAGAAGTTCAAACAGCTGATTCGTAGCAATGTGAGCCAGTGCTGCAATAATAGGGTTGAGGGTGCCCCAAACCCTGAACCCTAACCCTAAGACCCTAAGCCGTAAGGCCCTGACATGTCGGTGGGTGCTTTGGGGAAGAGCTTCAGCCTAGCTTTGCGCTGCGACGGCAGCCGCACGTTTTGGTAGAAGCTTTCAGAGCGGCCCGGGATGGTTTTTCGGGTTCGGGGTTTAGTGGTGAAAGGTTTCGGGTTTGGGGTTTAGGGTTTTAGGGTTTTGGGGTTTTAAGGGTTTAGTGGTGTGGGTTTCGGGTTTGGGTTTAGGGTTTTAGGGTTTAGGGTTTGAGGTTTAGTGGTGTAGGGTTTGGGGTTTAGGGTTTTAGGTTTATGGGTTTACAGGTTCTCACGGACCGTTCGAGGGTTTTAGAGCACCCGCGGCCCGAAATCCAAAAGCCCTCGAATTCAAGGGCTCAGGAGTTGGGGAGCGTTAAGATTTAAGTTGCGGGTCTAAGGTGGTGGGAGAATCATGGGGCTTTGTAAAATTAATGTAGTGTGGGCTGTAAGCACTTATATGTATGGTTGCCTTATTTAGAACCCCAGCTACGAAGTCGTACTGCTGATGGACAAAATCCTACATGACCTTAAGGACCCTAAACTATGGGAGTTATGGAATAGTCCTTATAACGGGTAATGCAGGATTTGGTCCATCAGCAGTGTGATCCTCGAAGTATGCAAAAGGATCACAGCTCGGGAGCTCCTCCCAAGCAGGAGGCTTCAAAATTGAAGACATTGAAGACTTACCGAAAACCCTAAAACGTAGCCCGAGACCCTGAACCGGCTTAAGGTCTAGCGTTTAGGGGCTCTGCTTCAGGGTCTAGGGGTTTGGGATTCTGAGCGATTGCTTTTGGGAGTATTTCGGGGTGTCATGTTTTTTTCGTTGTTATGTAAGTCTGTGCATTGAACTTTGCATGTTTTTCGTTTCGAGAACCTATAGGATCGTGCCATCCCAGGCCTCATTCTGGGGCAAAAAGGGCAAATGCAAGAGATCTAGAGCATGCCTGGCTGTGACTGCTCCAGTTACATAGCCATATGGGTTATCCTAATGTGGGGGGCGGGGGGGTTGCTTTTTTGGGTTTATTTGTTTGAAACTAGGATCTAGCTGGCCAGACAGTCAGCACAAAGCAGAAGTAGTGCGACTTGATGGCAGGAGGGTTCTTGTGATGCGGGGCAGCAAGGGTACCGTGGAATCCTTCCAAACGACTGGTCTACCACCTGAGCTGTCCACCGCCCAGTAATCCTCAACCCTCGGCCAAAGATGCTTCAACCTTAAACTCTAAACCCTAAATCCTAAACCCCAAGCCCTCAACCTAGAAAGGGCCGCCGCTGCTTTAGTTTGGGATTCAAGATTCAGGGCTTTGGGGCTGAGGGTTGGGGCTTAGGGTTAGGGTTTAGGTTTCTGGGTTTAGGGTTTAGAGTTTTTGAGTATGGTTTTGGGTTCCTTTATCATATAGCTACAACAAGGAGCGCCAAGGAGTTATATGGGGGTTTCCGAAAATAGGGGACCCAACATAGTACCCCGAATAGTAGGGTCCTTATTATAAAGGCCCCCCAAAAAATCAGGTACCCCGAATTTTCGGAAACTACCGTATTGGTCAGTATTTGGGGTTCTAGATCAACTCTAGGTCTGAGGGTTTAGGTTCGAAGGGGCCCCCACCCTGTAATAGTGGTATAGTAATAGTGGCATAATAGGAATGTAATAGGGCCTTACTATAATCTTATATTCACTATTACAGGGTGGGGGCAGCTTCTAAGGTTTAGGGCTTTGAGGCTTTGGGCTTAGGTTTTAGGGCTTTGCGGTTGGGCGGTTTAGGTGCTGAGGTAGGAAAAAAGTAACAGTTGGAATCGCACTTATAGTAAAAGTAATGTTCATAGCAACACGAAGCAGGATGATTGTGAGTAGTATTAGTAGTGGTAGTATCAGTACCAATTTTGGTGTCGTCATTCCGAAACACTGGATACCAAGACTCTCGCAAGCGGCGGGATGCCTTAAGTATGGGCCGTTGAGGCTGTGCGTCTTGGATTCGGGAAGCATCACAGCCTTTTCAACCACGTTACTCCGCCTATCCCAACGAAAGGGCGTCTAAAACAAGCCTGAGACGTATATAAAGATGCTACATTGCAGTCCCGTGTCGTCGAAAACTCCAGAAAGCTCGCACCTGTCAGCGAGCGAAGGAGGGGCGGGAGGGAAGCGGGAGTGGGGGGGGCGGGAGGGGGGAGAAGGCAGAGCGAGCGGAAGTGAAGAAAATTGGGTGGGACTGCCTACAGAAAGCCAAAATCCACTGGAGAAGGCGAAATTCACCGCCGGACCTTGGGGCTCATCGACACGTTTCCATTTTTTAGGGGGGGGGGGGGGGGGGGCCGTGGGGTCACTGGGAGGGAATTAAGAGGTGGGGAATAGGAGAATCCGAATAGGAACCTCTGACCGCTTCGGCCGGGGCCGAGGCGAATTTGGTGGTTTCGGGTTTAGGGTTTACGGTCCTAGTCTGAATCCCTGAGCAGCCTTGTCCTTTTTCATGGTTCCCCCAAAAGGATAAACAGACCGGCCAGTAGACCTTCTTAAATGGTTCCTACTAAGGGATATAGGTAAAGGGCTCTGTCTATTGTTTCTTAAAGGACAAGGGCGGAAGGATGCAGTCACAGGCCCTTTTACAAGAGCATGTCGAGGAGCGCCAATGCCGAGTTCGATCGGTGTCAACCCATCTCGTCTGCAAGCCCCCCCCCAGATTCAAACCACTTGATGCTACCCAGAACTCCAAACTAAGATTACCGTATTTTCCATAGAAGTTAAGGTAAAGCACTATTCCAATGCTCGAGGCATTTTAACTAGTGCTTACACAGGTTTAAGATTCACCGTCGACCTAGACGCCCGCAACTACCCTCTATTGTATGCTGAATTTACCAGTCTTTTCAGGTTCATGAGGCCTCGATAAACGTTATTTTGGGGGTTCTTGAGCTATCGGCACGGATCCTTGAAAGCACTAAGCCCAACCCCAAACCCTAAACCCTAAACTCTAAACCCTAAACCCTAAACTCTAAGCCCTAAATCCTAAACCCTAAACCCTAAACCCTAAACCCTAAACTCTAAACCCTAAACCCTAAACTCTAAACCCTAAACCCTAAACTCTGAACCCAAAGCCCTAAGCCCTAAACCATCCCAAGCCCATCACCCTAAAGCCCCAATCTGGTCGGAGTATATAAGTGTAAATTTGGGAGTTTCCGAAAATAGGGGACCCTGATATAGTACCCTAAATAGTAGGATCCTTATTATAAGGACCCCCAAATAGGTACCCCTAATTTTCGGAAACTCCCATTTGTATGTAATCAAGTGCCTTTATCATCCCGTATACATCCAAAGCCTTCTTCTAATCATCCAGACCTCTGTAAAGGAAACCTTGTAACGCACTGTAAAATCATAACGCACCACAAGAAGTCTTTCTCGTATCCAAAGTTCGACAACCGTGACGGGGGGAGGGAGGGTCATCATGATCATCATCATCACCACAACTATCATCAACATCATCATGGCACAGGTTTGTTTTGAAGGGCACATTCTGCAACCCCGTACTAGTGTAGAGATGTGCATCCCTTCCGTTTCACCTAAAACGCCACGTGCCCGGGATGCCAGGCTTAAACCCAAACTCCTTGACACCTTTAACCCTAAACCCTCAACCCTCAACCTCCAAACTTTCAAACCCCTTCACCAGGCGTGAAGCTCAAACCCTGAAGCCCCAAACCAGAAATCAGAGAGAAAGCAGACAGCTTAGTGGGACCCACCGAAGGCCCTGAAAAGGCTAAGCCTTCCGTGGTGGGAAGAGAAGACGTGCTGCGTGAACGGACGGGTACGGGGCGGTAGCTATGCTGATGACACAGATGTGTTGCTTTAGAATTACTACATACTAAAATAAATACCCATATTTTTCTATATATATATATATACACATGCATACATACATACATACATACATACATACATACGTAATACATTAGTATCTAGATGCTGTCATTGCTTTACAACTCTCTTTAATCGTTTTGGAGGTTGCGCAGAACTAGAGGTACCTCAGCTGAGGATCCTTGTAACAAAGATCCGACTGTGTTCGATCTATATTGGGGTTTCTGTTATTCTGAAACGCCCATATGTCAATCTCGCATTCCCTAACTCGTTTCTTGGGGTACCTT